AGCGCCCCCTAGCAATAACTGCGGTCGCTACTGTGGAAGTGAGGGGTAAGTAGCAAGTCACGTGGATTATCGCACTTTAATGTTAATAATAATGTGTCAGTGATTCCATTAGTGTTGAAAATACTTCCTCACAGCAGTCACACTTTAAGAGACAAAATGTTATCTACAGAACTATGACTTAGTTCGTGTCTACCTGCCATTTGTTCTGCAACAGTGAACACGGAGGAGGCTAGTATCTGCCTTGTCATTGATCGCGCAACAAATGGAGCTCACATTACACATGTTCAGGACGCCCAACGTGTAGCAGTGAAATGCACCAGGTCCACTCTCCCCACGACAAAAGTGTCTTTCAGTCGCAACAAACGTATGTTGTGCCCTTAAACCTACAATGGTCTTAAGTCTACAATATTTATGAGTGGCCGTGGCTTGTGTATGCACGTGACACTTATTTCGTACGCACTGCTTCTCAACTGAACCCGGAAGTGCATCGTACTTCTGCCGTGTTGTGACAGCACACAGCGTGCAGTGAGACTGCATTGTTTGCGGTACAGCATAACCTGAAGAAACTTTCCTTCTTTATCAATCTGTAAACTATCATTATTTTATGCAAAGCTAAGAGGAAATAAATCAAAATGTTTGTAAAACGTTCGTGTATTTTGTCAGCAAGTGTGGTATTTTAAGGAATTTTATTCTCTGTATCACCTAGCTTCCAATTTGCCATTGTCTCATGGAAAAAAAACACTGGGAATTGGGCATTAAAATAGGAAATATTCCTTCTCGTTAGCAGTGTGTCATAACTCCCGTATAGCAACGTATATATCAAGTTCCATACCAACTACTTCTCGTGCACTCCCTGTTTCCTTCAGTGTTTTCAGTTGAGGTGTCTTTTGATGGGCTAAATATGGACACGATAACTTTCCAAATATCCAGTATAACATTAAATTCAAAATTCAAATTCTAATCCAGGCTAGTAATGTTCATATTCATTACATTAAATATGTTTAAATGTCAGTGGTTTTCATTCCCCATCAGATAGTTTGAAAGAGGACGAGAAAGTGATGTGTCACCCCCACACAAGAAGATTGATCAATATCAGTATTGTATATCCATAAAAAGTATATTGAATTCGTTTTTGTTTTGTTTGCAGGTCTTACCAGTTGGAACTGGTATTTATTTTGGTGTTCATGTTAGGGTCAGATAAAGTATAAAAAAAATTAATCAATAAACTGGAATTTAGTTTTGCATTTTTGGTATGCATTAGAAATATTGTATACAGGCTACTAGTATGGCTCCTTGTAATTCTATACTCATTGTGGGCAATTCTAGATGAATCCAACGTCAAAATATTCTTACTCTTTACATAATCTAGAATTTTTTATTAAAAACTAATAAGTTTTGCCTTCGAGACTTGTGCAAATCTAACAGGCTACCCATTTTACAGGTTAGGCAAATTAAACAGTACAAATGTCTCAGTTGGTTTATAAGACATCATTAGTATATGTAAGTGTTTGGGACATCCCGTGAAAACATAAATAAATTAAAGTGTGGCAGCAGTGAGGTAGTTGGTTTTAGTGCTGCTATAAGCATAATGCCAGTCACATCATTGTAGATGGCACCAAGTGTACATATTTGCATGTGGGTGGGGTGGTGTCACGTGCAAATGCTAGTACCAGTCAGCAGGACCTGTGCCCTACATCTGTGTATATTATTAGTTTTACACTCACATCTATACATAGGATGTGAAGCAAATGTATTACCTTGAATAGAACACGTTCTTTACATCAAATTATACATGTATTTTGTCTGAGGTTGAATTGTGTGTTCAAATCTGAAGAAAGAAGAGGATACTCCTATGTAGGAACTAAATAATGTTTGTGTAATTAGAGATGATGTAAGCTTCACATTGGCTTTTAGTTTGTGACACACGATTGGACATTCATGCAATGATAACTTAATACATGAAAGAAGTGTATGTAGCTGAACATAGATAAGCTGTTCAAGGTACATTTGTCAAGGTGGACATTGTGTGAGAAGTCAGATTGTAGACATCCATCACCTCCTGGGGTTAGTTGTTGGTGTATTCACTTCACATGACAAAAGAAATGAAGTTCATTGAAGATGTTTTATTACAAAAATACAAAACAACCTATGTATATTATTGATGACAAATCTGAGGCACATAAGAAACAAACAAACAAACATATAAGAAATTGTTAGCTAACAACAACATATGCATACTACATGATCATATATTTTTGATACTTTTTATGGCAAGTACCCATATTAAAGAAGGCATATACAATTTTGATAAATGCATGAATACCCCCTACTTGGAAAGCGTAACCACAAATGTGTTTGTCTTGCGACATGGACATTTTACCAAAACAACTCCCCAGGAACATTTTGAAAAAATCCTGTGAAGAATAATCCCCCAAGTAATTAATCTTTGTGTAATAGTTTAATAGTTACTTTCATACAACCACGTGTATTACCTTCCATGTTCGTATTAAGTGTCCATGTTATTTACCAGTAAGTAATTGTTTCAGAAAATGGTCCAAAGAAACAAAATATGTAAAAATGTGAGACATTATTATTACAGCTCACAGACACACCAACTGATGATGAGGGTTACTTTTAGGCAACTAAACTGACACATAACAATATGAAAATGTACAGCATAATGTCACACATCAGACATTGTGCATGCATAATGTCACACATCAGACATTCGGTGCATATATAACAATTACACATCAACAACTTTCTGAGTTGTGGCAGAAAGCAACAGTTTCCCACGCTTCCCATGCATAGAGTTGGTGCAGTCTTCATGATCTACTATCATGAGCAGAACTCAGACAAAATGTCGATTGGGATTTCTTTTACCACAGTACTTGCAAAACGTATTTAGAAACATGAATTAAACAATCTGGTCATGCATACACTGAAGCTGACTTAAGTTATATATCTTTATTCAACCATGTGAAAAGAAATTCGAACATTAGTGACTTGTAGTGTAACCATAGAGTTCTAGATAAATTTTGTTATTAAACAATATATCATGTGACTAACTAATTCTGCTCACAAGTTAGAAATGGGATTTACTATCAGTAGCCAAAACAAAATCTTAAGATTCCATTATTTGTCGAGTTTATAGGCGTTATCCCATTTCTGGTCGAGGGGACATGAGTAATAATATAGTCAAAAATCTCTTAAAATTAGAAATATTGATCCATAGCATTAATATGTCAGGTGTAAACTTCCAGTCTCATTATGTCAGGTGTAAACTTTCAGTCTCATTATGTCAGGTCTAAACTCTTCAGTCTCATTATGTCAGATGTAAACTGTCCTGTTTCATTATGCAAAGTGTAAACTGTCAAGTCTTATTATGTTATTATAAATTTTAAAAATTCTTTTTGCCTTTAGATTTATTCAGATGGTTGTTCTGATTGATGGAACATGAATGGGTTATCCATCTGAAGCAAAATAAGGTCACACCAGCACCATACTTCAGCACTCCCATTTGTCAGCAATGGATATTCTAAGTGCCGTTTTCGCCCACTTGTGCCAAAAAGTCCAGAATTTAAAAAATAATTTACATTTAATCTTTAGAGATATTTAGATACATTATTCATGTTGCACTTCTAAAAGTTTGAAGAAAAATATGAATGTTTACTACAACTACTTGCAACTCAAACATGCCTGGGGTGGGTCTGACCCAGCTCAAAAACGACAAAAACACACACAGAACTAGGTATTTTTTAATTCAGGGATATTATTTATGCACAGTATCTTAAGGCAGATTAATGTTTTTTCAAGATATGCAATAATGCATATCTAGGCTAATTCGAAAAAAATGAAGATCATTAACTTTTATATCCCAATATGATATGTGAATGTGTAAAATCTCAGTTATCGAAAGTATTTCAAAATATAAGATACATGTGAGCTAAAATCCACAGCATGAAGTTCAGAAAGATTTTTAAACTAGTTTCTATCTGAATATTTATGTCCAAAATTATGTAAAGAAAACCGCTTTTAAGTGACATGTGGTTAAAGTTAGTGAAACAACATTTTTAATACTTTAAAATGCTCTTATCATCATTATGATGATATGTCTGTTTATCAGTATCAAGATCCTTTATTTTTATTTAATGACTTAAAACATTTCTTTGCAAAATGATGTAGAAGGCCAAACTAAATATACAAATATAATGCACAATGATATCTTTTGGAAATTCTGTGGTAATACATATTGTATTTTATTACCTCTAACTTAGTTTTACACCATTTTTAACTAAAATACACAACTACATCTTTGGTCTTTTGAATATTAAACACAGTTCTAAAGGATATTCATAGACATCACTTGAAGGAACATGAACTGGAAAAAAACTATAATAGCTCAAGACAATAGTTCAGAAGTTTGTTATGCTCAAACTGTCCCAGCAAAACATATTTACACTTTTGAAAATACGTTGCACTCACCAAACAAGAAAGATGCTTAAGTCTAAAATAAATAATAGCAAAATAAATATCCATGAAAATGGGAAAAGTCATTGTAAACTTCATATATAACAATCACATCCAAATGTCTGTCATGAATAATCTTAATACAGTCATGTGAGTTTTCATGCTCCTAGTATTTACAGTCAAGCATCATGAGCGAATGAGCCAATGGGGGGTATGCTTCAACTATCCAGTCTATTGACTGGAAGACATGTATACAGAACTAGCCATCGTAATGGCCACGTATCAGCTGGCTGAACAGGACAAGTGTCACCAACCATATCCTCATCAAAACTGTTAAGAAGCCTTTTCTTGACAACGTACAAAATGTAAAACATATTATGAAACTAATTATCTTCCCTTCAAGGGCAGGCGGATAATCGCACTTACCTCCCCTGAAATTATTTGTTGGTCAAATTAAAATACTTTGTCGATGTTTGAAAAATACAGAAAAATAGTTTTTAAATAGTTTTATCATGCAGCTATATAAATACATCCATATAACGATGAAATTACCAGTTTTTAGGTAAAATAGAATACATTTAACTTTTACTTACCTGAAAAAATGCTTTTTCCTTCTCTCTGAACTCCTGAAGCGCGGGATACAGTGACCAGGAAGTGTGTTGTTGTCATAACAACCAAGAAGACGCGCAAAGTCATCACAATTAGCGTAAATTGCCCTCGAACGTCACTACTAATTGCATTCGTGACCAACTCGTGTTTTTCCCGGACAAGCCGAATAGCGTTCTTGCAGGTTACGGAAAGGGGCGAGTGGTAACGAATGTACTAATTGTGAAGCAAAACCTAAAGTGTTCTAAACATTGCTACAGAAGCGCCCCCTAGCGATAACTGCGGTCGCTACATTGGAAGTGAGAGGTAAGTAGCAAGTCACGCGGATTATCGCACTTTAATGTTAATAATAATGTGTCAGTGATTCCATTAGTGTTGAAAATACTTCCTCACAGCAGTCACACTTTAAGAGACAAAATGTTATCTACAGAACTATGACTTATTTCGTGTCTACCTGCCATTTGTTCTGCACCAGTGAACACGGAGGAGGCTAGTATCTGCCGTGTCATTGATCGCGCAACAAATGGAGCTCACATTACACATGTTCAGGACGCCCAACGTGTAGCAGTGATATGCACCAGGTCCACTCCCCCCACGACAAAAGTGTCTTTCAGTCGCAACAAACGTATGTATTTGTCAGACTAGAAAACCGTTCCTGAAGGCGAATCTGACGAGAATGATAGAGCCACCCAAACATTTACGTCTGTTTCTTCATTACAAAGGTCTAATTCAGTATGGAGTTTCTTGAATGTACGAACATTGAGTTTAATCGTTGTTTACTTGTCAGATTATCAACAACAATCTGATATGGTGTTATTGAATCAGATATCGAATAATGTGCACAACATTTCCATAAAATAATTCTGAAGGACAACAAAAAGGCAACAAGCAGATATTCAATTTTTAATCAGCAGTCACTTTATGAGACATAATGTTATCACAAATACACGTGATCTGAGACCACTTCCGGTAAGCTACCGATCTTCGTTATTGTAATAACAACGTAACTTGAAATAAAATTTGACGTAAATTGTAATACGCAAATTGTAATAAAAATTGACGTAAATTGTAATAATCTTAACTTGCGGTAAAATGTAATAACTTTTTACGTAAATTTTAATAACCTTATAAGTTTAGTGTCAAAGGCGTTAAATGACTAGAACCTATCCTTGTCAGGGTTGGTACAGGGTTTATCGTACTATTGTCATTAAAGTATGGGTGTGGGGGAGGATTGAGGTCGTTATCGTGCATTGTTGTATAATTATATGTATATATAAACGCATTGGAATTTCATTTCTATGGTTGTCCAGAAGAGGATTAATTACTAGAATGAACTTAGTTTTCTTATTTATTTGAGAAATACTCTGTGTGTTTTGTATTATATTTTGACGAAGAATTCAAATACATCAAATGAGTGACAAATCTCTTGTGCAATGTCAATTAAAAAAAACAGTCGTCAGCAAATGCAGCATAGATTTCCCATGCATGGGAAAGGAGAATACTTAATACATAACATTATATACAATGTTTTTATTCATATCAAAAGAGGGGCGTGGATATTTTTTACCTACATTGCTTAACTATTAGATATTGTGCATTCTCGATCTCTGTGAACTTCTCACAGATAAAGAAATAATAATAAATAAATGCAAACCATGTTAACTTATGCAATATTTGTAGCAATGTATGATTAACATATGGATAATTAATATAACATAAAATATTTCCTTTCATAACAAGAAGTATATTTAATAAATGTTACTGTCTGGATTCCTTTCATATGTCATGAAGAACTAACAACAACTTACTGACAACTTTTGCTGGGATAATAACTCCTTGTCCCAACAACAAAAACAGAATCCATCATGATAACGGCACGAAATCATAATTCAAAGCATACACAAATAATATCCGGTATCTTCGGGCATGTCTTGTTGACAGAATGTATAATAAATTTGTTGCAATCAATTATTGCTGAAATATATCTGTTTTGATCAAAATTGAAAGGATGGAAAATCTATAATGAAAAGGGTTTTGTCACTAACGTAAATATTCTCTTTGACCTTATACGAAGAGTATTCTAAGATCCTTAAACTCGACAATCGTTGATTGATTGCGCCAAGCAACCTTGATACCAAATTTGGTACCTCACGTATAATGCGGTACATAATTTTCGAAACAGATAATTACGTTTTTCATAAGTTATCACTAATTTGTGACATATATACGGACAAAAATTACCTCAGAGGATTATCTTTTCTGGGGGTTTAAGAGGATTAAAATAATTCCAGCTAACATCAAGCACTGTAATAAAATATTGAAATTATAGCATACCATCTTAACATTCCAATGAAAAGAATAGTGACTAACTAAGAAACCAAATTATATTTATCTCCGATACTATGCCCTCATCAGTACACACACACACACACACACACACACACACACACACACACACACACACACACACACACACACACATACACACATAGGTATGTATGTATGTGTGTGTTTGTGTATGTGTTTATGTGTTTATGTATGTATGTATGTATGTATGTATGTATGTATGTATGTATGTATGTATGTATGTATGTATGTATGTATGTATGTATGTATGTATGTATGCCAGTAAATACGACCTCTATATTTCATTGGTATCAGATCTAGGACTGCACTTCTACATACAGTTCCAAGTGAAAGATGAGTGACACCACTTTGTGAGAGGTCCCACAAAAATGCTGATATGAGCAATTAAAGGTTATGCAAAATGTAACAAATGAACAAAGTAAGATATTTTAAAAGATAAAATAGAAACACAAACCTGTAGATATATGAATTAGAATGTAGCAAATACATTAGATAAACGTATCTTCTACGTAGATAAAAGTATGTCCAACGAAGACATAAGTATATTCTTCGTAGATAATACCTTTTTCATTTTTTATCACTAATTTGAGACGGACAATAAACCCTAAAAGCATAACCTCCTCTAGGGGTTTAAGAGGGTTAAAGTAATTCCAACAAACAACAAGCACTGTAATGAAATTACAACCTACTTTGTTAAAATGCTGATGAAAAGACTAGTAACTATCTAAGAAACCTCAGATTGGGCCTCATCAGCACACACACACACACACACACGCACGCACGCACGCACGCACGCACACGCACACACATACATTCACACACACACACAGAGATACAGACACAAACACGTGTTGCACACACTACATACCCATAAAAAAACACCCCCACACAAACACTATATGTGTGTATGTACGTATGTATGTATGTATGTATGTATGTATGTATGTATGTGTATGCGCGCATGTAGGTGTGTATGTAATGACAGTAGATGTGAGCTCTATGTCATTGGTATCACATATATTACTGCACTTCTACATACTCTAGATGACAGTATCAGGTACGTGGATGAAAGTATGTAAGTGGACGATAGTATCTAGATGGCATACTATCATCTACGTAGAAGATACTATCATATACGTAGATGAAAGTATCTTCTACGTAGATGAGAGTATCTTCTACTTAGATGATAGTATCTTCTACGTAGATGATAGTATTTTCTACGCAGATGGTAGTATCTTCTACGTAGATGATAGTATTTTCTACGCAGATGGTAGTATCTTCTACGTAGATGATAGCATGCCACAAACATCACATCACTTCCAATAAATGTCTTTCACTATTTTGATACCACCCTTTAATGACGATTGTACGATAAAGCCTATACCAACCATCCCTAACTTTACAGTTTTATACGTTTGTCATCATACACTCGAATTGTACATGTGAAACAAAAGCTCAACTGACAAAGATCATTTCTAGTCAATTGGCGTCTTGGACACTACGGTAGTAAGGTTATTACAATTTACGTAAGAATTTATTACATTTTACCGCAAGTAGAGATTATTACAATTTACGTCAATTTTTATTAAAATTTGCGTATTACAATTTACGTCAAATATTATTACAATTTACCTTTTTATTACAATTTACGTCGTAACACCCCGCATTGTTTGCATTGCCTGTAATAGGTATCCAAGATTTCTCCGAGCCCGTCCGAGGCAAGCTTCGAGCTTCTTCCAAATTATCTATGTTACCGAGTTCATCACGCACAGTCCGAAGAACCTTAGTAGTCTTCGCGGAAAGTTTTTCTCGTCGTGAGTAGTCTAGAAAACCTAATTCATTACGAACAAAGTTGATGCCATGTTTAGCGGCTATCGTAGACAAGGCTAGGGGCTTACGAGTACGATAATGCAGAAGGTCAATATCCGGAGAGCCACGCAGTCGCAATATTCCTTTACTATCTATGTCAAACTTTGAATAGTCACGACCAATTGGGGTTTCTTTAAAGGTATCGTAATTATCATTCACGGTTGATTGTAAAAGTTCATCGTTAAGATTCGTAAAGCTGGTTTCATCAGACCCTCTTCGATTGTACTAGGGTTATCGAAATCATCTAAATTAAAATCATCCATTTTTATATTAAACATAAGGTTACATAATTTCAATATAACAATGTCTTCGCAGTACGGACGCAAGTTAAACCGACAACGTAGACTTCGAGATCCATTAGGGGTCAAAGCAATTCGTCAGTCTGTAACTATAACTAATAACCCGAGTACCATTGATCAGAATCAAACGCTTCTGGTTCGCTTTCCTAATCTCGGCGCACACGATGTGTTAGTTTCGGGAACTGTCCGACTAGCATTTACGATTAGTTTGACTTCTACCGACGTTAACAGGGAGCCTGTTCAGAACATAGGTCGTGCTATCGTTAAGAAAATCGCGATTAAAATTAGCGGTAATGAGGTTTTGAGTATCGATGATAGCGATGTATACTATTGTTACATGGATCTCTGGAGAACGGATAAAGAGAGGGAAAACTTACAATACCAAGGTATTTGTAATCGGAACTCATTGAGACTGCGTGTGGGTGCTGAAAATGGTGATAATACCGTCGTAAAAGATCTCGCTGTTGCCGACGCATTAGGTAACCGATTCTATATTCCGCTAGACTTTGAATTACTAGATTCCCAAATGCCCTTTTATCAAGCATCCCTAGGCGATAGGTTAGAATACGAACTCACCTTTAATGACTACGGTAGAGTAATCAGAGCTGCTGAAGATGCTAGCTATTCCATTGAAAATATCTCGATGGAGTATGATATGATAACAGATCCCGAATTTGCCAGACAAATTCGTAACCAGTATACCGGAAGTTTAGCTATTTTGTACGATCGCGTTCTTCGACACCGAAAGATCACGAGGAACAAAAAAGATACGACGTGGAATATCAATCTAAAAGTCCCCACGAGACCATTTAAGGGTATTTTAATGTTGTTCGAGGACCCCTCCGATGCATATAAAAGAAATACCGAGAAGTTCTACAATCCCAAGATTACAAAAGAAGAATTGACCATTGAGGGCGTTCCTAATCAACTATATAGTCAAGGAATGCTAGCGTATCAACAGTGAGATGAGATTAAAAAAACTTCCTTCTATAAAACGAAGCCCAGAAGTTAACGCGGTCGTGAAAGATCTGTCTCTCGGGGATGTATCGATGGGTGAATACACCATGAAGTATGCGCTATGGCTCGACATGCGAACCACGGACGATGACCAACTACACGGCAGTGGGAAGAGAATAGAAAATGCCAGCGAGGGTGTCACTATACAGATAACGAAGTTCCAGGAATCGGCTGGTAAATTAAACATATATTTGTATGTGATTATGGATGCGCAACTTAAAATACAGAATGGAAGATTCGTGCAAGCAATCTATTAATAATCTTTTACGTAAAGAACCCACTGCGCTATCATCTGCGGGCAAACGGGTTGTGGAAAAACAGCTTTTATTCTAGATATTTTACAAAGTCATTATCGGGACGTTTTCGATCATGTTATTATTCTGTGCCCGACTATAAGCGTTAATAAAACATACCTATCGAGAGATTGGGTAATGAATGACGATGGGGTGTACAGAGTTGATCCGGGCGATCGTTTACAAGAATGTTTACGAGTATGTCACGAAAAATACAAAGGAGAATCAACCCTTTTTATAATAGACGACTGCAGCGGGAGTAAAGAACTAACCAAAAAGAAAGATATGCTTTCGTATTTAGCATTCTCCGAACGGCATACTCAACATAGCATTTGGGTACTTACTCAAAAATACAACTCTGTCCTGAAAGATCTCAGAGAGCAGACCAAATGGGTAGCCCTGTTTCATCGCAAAGACCGCCATTCATTCGAGGAATGTTTACACGAAAATGATGTTATTTATACCAAGTCCGAACGAGATAAAGTCAGAAAACTGTTAGCTTCAATGAAGCACTGTAAACTCAAATTATGTCAAATATAGCAAAAAGATAGCAAAGTTATAGCAAAAATATGTAAAAAAATAGCAAATATAGAGCAAAAAGATAGCAAATACAGCAAAAATACGATAAATTGAACATTAGCGGTTATTATGATGTAATAATGTGGCTTGAAATCATCATTCTTTTGCAACAGTTTATTATTACGGGCTGTATTGGATATGCCCTATTTTATTATGTTAGACTTAAATATCTCCTTAGGTATAACATTATGGAATGCGATGAACTCATCGAACAAATGCTCAAAGATGAGCCAGAACATATGACAGATAAATCTTTAGATAAACATAGAGAAAGACTCGTCGCTTTGGCAGCCGGTGGAAAATGTTCCGAATATTTTGGGGAAAATTATACCATCGAAAAAATTGATAACATGACCGACGAAGAAATTAAAAAACTGTACGCGCGTTACGAGTCTAGACTGGGAGCTACCATGACTAAAACAATAGGGTCAGCTATGTTACAACTGTACACAGTCGTAGCAAGTACGTTTCTCCCTATCCCGGCAGAACATCTCGTTGACAACAGAAGATATAACGTCATTGGTTCAATCCTCATCAAGAGGTATTACTTATAAATCTGATAATTCATATATATCACTTGAGTTGTCACTGCAGCCTATTGAGCACTTTCCCGAGGCAAGGGAGTTAACTGACTATAAGTCCAGTTTCCATCCCTGGCCGAACTAGACTGGAATTCCTGGGCTCGATCGTAGCGCCACCAGTGGTTATTACGAGTTATATCCCTTACAAGCCTCTCCTATGGACCAATCTAATTCCACCTCTCGTATCACTTGCATTTGCTTCAAACAAAATGGCGGCGCCCTGTCAGGACGATCTGATCGATAAACAAGATCTATATTGTGATAAAACGAGTAATACATCGCAAAGTTCATCAAATCACGTAGGCACCTTGATTACAAACATGAAAAGATTTAGTCAATCCGGCGATAGGAACGAGTTAGCTAGGATGGAATCCTCAATTAATGACCATTTAGCTTTTTTAAATGAAAAGAAGGAAAAAAGAAAGAAAGAAAAAGAACTGGAAAGAGATGTAAATGATCTTGAAACAAAATATATCGCACACGATGCTGAAACAATAAACTTAAACAACAAATAAGAAGAAAATTTCAGAACAAATAAAATAAAAGGTATTATATTTAGAAGCAAGGCAAAGTTGTTCGCTCGTCACTCGGAAAATCCGGGTTCGATTCCCCAAATGTGTAAAATGTGGAAAGCCAGTTCTTTTTTCCCCACCAACGCGTGATGTTACTAGAATATATCTGAAAGCGGCGAAAACAAAACACATACTCATTCAGAATTAATCGACCCGATGAATCAAAAGATTGAATCAGATGAAGCAAAGGACTGAATCCGAAGATTCCAATGAGTGAATACAATGAATCAAATAACCGAACCTGATGAATAAAATAACTGAATCCGATGAATTACATGACTGGATCCGATGACAGGCAACCCCACTCTGTTTCAGCGCCCGTGCCGTATTCGTCTCCTAGTAACCCACCATTATCTCCAACGTGCTATGAAGTTGTTTGAATGGATTGCTGCCCTCTGCCTCTTTATTCTGCCCTTGACAGTGGGGCTTGTACCGGTAATCTGCATATTCTTGGCAGGTAGGTTTCTACAGTAATATTGTAAACGCTTGTAAAAACTATATGGAAGTATATAAAATTACAGATAACACTGCCTTCGTGTGTTTTGTAAAACGTGTATTAAATTTGAACTGATGACTGACCATTGATTAAGGCTACGTTTGAAACCAATGAAGCGCTCGCCACGAGACAGCAATCAAACAAACTGTCTTCTCATTTCCTTTTGTTTTGTTCTTTTCCAGGATGGTATTATCCGTCTCTTGTGGCTCGCCTCAAAGGTAGGTTTCTAATGTGTAAATTGTTTAAAGCTACGTTGAATGATATGCTATTACAGTGAGTGAGATAAATTTTAACCTCGCATCAGCATTATTTCAGCCATATAGCGACGATATGCTGTACAAATAACATTGCCTTTGTGTATTTTGTTAACTGATGACCATTGATTAAGGTCATGTTTGACGCCCATGCAGTGTCAACCATTTTGCAGCAGTAAGACATTCAAATTCAATTCAAATTAAGCATGTATATAACGCTACTTATCCAGATATACTGCCTGCTCAAGAGCGCTCAGTCGTATGTTTTTTTTGAAGAGGGTGGTCTTGGGTTTGATCTGAAGGTGTTGCCATCTTCAGATCCCCTGACATCAATGGACAGTGCATTCCATAGAGTTGCACCTGCTTTTCGGAAGGTTCTGTCGTCATATGTTGTTCTGCTGGTTGGTGGAAAAGCAAGCTGTAGTTGGTTTGCAGATCTCAGTGTTTGTCCAGGTTGGTAAAGGGCAGTGAGTTCCTGGAGGTATACTGGGGATAACCCATGGATTGATTTGTAGACAAACATGATCAGCTTGAACACGATCCAGAGTCTCACAGGTAGCCAGTGCAGCTCTTTCAGGACGGGTGTAATGTGTTCACGCATTGACTTCCGTGTGATGAGTCTGGCAGCAGTGTTTTGCACACGCTGTAGTCTATCCAGATGATGTTGCTGGATACCATACAGAAGACTATTACAATAGTCAAGTCCTGATGTTACAAATGCCTGGACAAGGCACTTGACTGATGTCTACACATCTTCCTATCTGTCTGATGTTCCTGATGCTGTCTTCTTTTTTCCTCACGTTTTGCTCTCTTTCAGATTATTACACAGTATCCAAAGCTGTCGAGGATATCTGTGAGTATACCTTGCTTGGATACACCCGTATGCATGGGAGTCTATCCTTTGACGAGACATATCTGTGATACACATCTCTATGCATGACAGTATTTCCTGTGTTATAGACTGCATTCTCAGCCTAGATAGGGATCGAGTCGATACAACGATAGTATGGATGTGTTTTTCTTCGTTAGGATGGGTCGTAGCGAGGATATATGTAAACGATCATGCAGTCTAACTCTCTGACTTTTCTCATGTATGCTAAAACGCTGAGTTCAAGATTAAAGGGTCTAAATGACCAGCAACAACACTTCTGTATTTATTCGTGCAAGGGTATTCCCAGTGCTTTACCCCAGAATGTGGAAATAGTCAGTCAGTGTTTACGTCATTTTAAGAATACAGTATCGTGAAAAATGTAAGAACATCAAATTGTGTCGTTTATACGCTTATGACTATCAGTTTCTGAGTTTGTGACTGACCTCTCGTCCAATAGAAAAGCTGAATGTCGTGTAAACGTCACATTACAAAATGTATACTGTAAATCTTGAAATTAGCGCAAGCGTGAATTTAATGCGTTTGGTCTTTGCTCGTATTAACTGACTTCGCATTTATGTCTCCAAAATACTATGAACAATAAGAGGGCCAGACAGGACACATTGGATGGCGGAAATACCAACTAGAATATAAACACAAACACGGTTTTTGAGCAGCAGTTGTAACAAGTATATAACAATGTCATTCAAAGAACAGGAATTATACAATGGGCATCCGGTGATAGTTATCTCTGCTTGTTGACACCTTCTCCGCACACCAATCAGTGAACTTGTTGGTTCGATAATTTTATTGCGTCTGAACTTCCTTCATGCCTAGCCCTAGACAATGCGGAGATACAGCCTATTCCCTTTAGTAAACAAGAGATAAAAATCAAAATCAAAGCCTCTATAGCCCAAAGATGACATGCCTAAAACGTACCAAAAATACAAAGCAGTGTTAAACTAATTTCACTCACCAACTAACGTAGAGGTAGTGAATCTATACTTTTTCTTTCAGGGAATAAAATCTGGGGTCCCCGGCAGCGAGGGAGACAACAAACCTCCCTAAACACAGACAGTGGGCCACTGGCCACAGACAGTAGGCCACTGGACACAGACAGTAGGCCACTGGACACAGACAGTAGGCCACTGGACACAGACAGGGGGCCGCTGGGCACAGACAATCGGCCACCAGACGAGCCAGTTGGACCGCCCCTCTCCGATGGTAATACTGTCAGTTGTCTGAGAGATTAACATCATGATCAATATGCATCCATACAATCTATTACCTATTTAGTATAGTACATTAGTGCATGTTCGTGTCTCATCAAATGTTTGGACGTTTATTCAACAACTGACCTTATTTCCACGATAGTGAATTTTGAATAAGGATTCTAAATCGAAAACGTAAACCCCACAAATTTCACTTTAGGTAACAAACAAGTTCGTGTTTGGTTATGGAAGACATAGGTTCACTATAGTTAGAATTATAGTTACGTAACTGTTGCCCCTAGCAGTAACGCAGAACAGGTGGTAAACGATGCAGACCTGACATACTATCAAACCAGGCTACAGGACGGAAGCTGAAATCGTCACGTCAACTATTCCAAATACAAGTTTAAGTTGCCCAGGGGTCATGAGATATTGTTTTCAGTCAATCTTTATGAGTTATTCACAACCTGCAATGTCTGTTTTCTCATCCAGATGCTGCAGTTGAAATTATCGTGAGCAGAATTTCAAATAAATGGAAAAATTTGGGAAGACGCCTTGGAATGACAGACGATGAACTGGATAACATAGACAGTGATCACAAGGGACAGAGGGAGAAGGCACATCAGATGTTGCGGGCTTATAGAAACAATGCCGACCAACCCATCCTAGACAAACTTGTTAAAGCGTGCAGGAAGGAAAGGCGCGCAGACATTGCGAGCGAACTTTTGAAGCTTAAACAGGAATAAAACAAAATATAAAGACACACGTTGACCATTGCATGTTGTCACTGTTGACAGAGTGTTGAAGGTTGGTTGGTTGGTTGGTTGTTTAACGCCGCACTCAGCAATATTCAAGCTATATGACGGCAGTTTGTAAATAATCGAGTATGGACGAGACAATCCAGTGATTAATATCATGAGCATCAATCCACGCAATAGGGATTGATGACATGCATCAACCACGTCAGCGAGTCTGACCGCCCGATCCCAGTGGTTAAGGAAGACCCCATGTTGGGCTCGGAGGACACGCCTTCATATTGCATTATCATTGGCATAGTTTCATCTTAGGCTGATCATAAAACAAAAGCAATGAACATGGGCTGGGACGAGTCCAAATTTACTACCCGGGTACCCACCCACCTATCATCCGACCCTACCCTGGTACCCACTGTTGGTCTCAAGAAAGAGGTACAAAATGTCCGATTGGGAATAGTTTGACTGTAGCCCTGGACAAAATGTATTTAGATACACGTATAAATCGATCTGGTCATGCATACACTGACGTTGACTGAAGTTTTATCTTTATTCAAACATATCTGGGTGCACAGTCGGGGCGGTCGGGTAGCCCAGTGGTTAAAGCGTTCGCTCGTCACGCCGAAGACCTGGGTTCGATTCCTGACATGGGTACAATGTGTGAAGCCCTTTTCTAGTGTCCCCCGCCATGATATTGCTAGAATATTGCTAAAAGCAGTGTAAAACCATACTCACTCACTCACTGGGTGCACAGTCAGAAAGAAACGCTAACTTCAGTGACTTGTAGTGCAACCATATAGTTCAAGATCATTTTTGTCATTAGACAAGATATCACATAACCTACCACGGGTCCGGTTTGTTCTGTGGGTACCCGGGTCTTTCTCGGCACACACCAGACCAGGGGACCCGAGTTACCCGTCCCAGCCCGACAAGGAACCAATGTTCTTGGTATTAATACCTCTGCCAGTGCATTGGCTCAGTTTGTTTGCACACATTAGCACATGCAACCCAGCCAACACGCTGATCCTGGGCCAACATTGTGCGCGTGCCAGCTTTGTATACGTTTGAACTTCTATAATCTTAACCGCCGTGATATTGCTGGAATACTGCTAATAGCGGCGTAAAACCATACTCACTCACACACTATAATCTTAAAATATATATTTTATTTAATAACGCTTTTAAAATTTACAAACCATCAAAACTTAGTTTAATTAATTACATCAACACTCTTTACTTATCTTTTGTGCAACCAAATGAAATTTTATATTTATTTCCCACTATTTTGTAGTTCTGCATATTCGCTGTGACCCTGTAGCTGGCCATCTACACTTGTCGGAGGAATATAGGAAGTACGTTGTCTTGACTACCAGTTGTCGGACTTCCATTTTTTATTGAAGCCTTGGTGGCTGGGTGGGTCAGATGAACTTAGATCGTTGACTTTGTGTGCTGGCCAGGTGGCTCACTCTGGCAGTGTGGGTTCGAATCCCGGGTGGGACTCAACCCCAAAAAGTACGAGAATCGGTACTTTACTAAGAAAGTGTTATCCCAAATATAACATTTGTTACTACGCCTCTAGCTAAAGGAGATAATCGCTCATATTCTTACAAAAAATATAGACCGGTTAACATCAGCGAAAGGAGATATATTTCCCCTTAAAGAACATGAACAAATGGCATGGATTAGCTACATAACGAGTATAGTGAAACCAAAATGGCGCTGTTCTTCAATCAAAAACAAACAAACCCTCACACTTCCTGCCTTCAATGACCGCCTCCGTGGTCTAGTGGTAGAGCGTCCGCCCGGAGAGCGGAAGGTCCGGGGTTCGATCCCCGGCGCTCATACCAAAAGACGTTAAACGATTGTTGTTACCCTGTCTGGCGCTCGGTATTGAGGGGCTAAAACAAGGACTGGTCGGCTCGGAGTCAGTATACTGTGTCTGAGTGGGGTATTCATGTTAAACTGCGGCATGGTATCTCAGTGAGCTAGCACTATTAATCGGCATCAGTCCGGACTAGTACAAGCAGCCACACAAACACACACATACATGGACGCGACGTTAAACCCCATTTCACCTCACCTCACTTCAGGGCGACTGACTGAGGTTGGGTATTGTACGTGCGCTTTCCGACTGCGAGCGTATGTCGCACACGGGGTCTTTGTGCGAGTCGCAGGCTTGACCTAAATACGCCGCTGACTGCCTGAATAACATACGATGCATTGCAAAGTCAGTGCACAATTAAGAGCTATTTGAGGAAGGGAAATAATCATTTACTCGTGGTACCTTACAGCTTGAATAAGACACGACGCACAGCCTTGCAAGGCCCAACGTTATAAAGGTATAGAGACGTAGCTAATGGAGATAATCTGTCGATGCCCAATACTTAATTCATACAAAATATGACCCAGTAAATTTAACGAAAGCAGATATATTTCCCAATAACATTTGAATGTTTAAGAATTGAACGTCAGTTTGGATGGGTTCATTGAAGTGTGAACGATTTAAAAGCGCTGGTTAAACTGTGTGAACCTCCGAGCTTGCTGCTTCTCGGCCTAGAATGCACAGAGAAAGTCGGCCAACTCAGAAACCGGAATAGTAGATTTCTAATTCCGTCTACGCGGATATTTTTTATCGTCTCCGATGACCAATCGATAAAACAGGTAAGCAAGTTGTTGGTGTGTTTTTAAAAAATTTAAGTTTCTTTCCTTATCTTTTTATGTGTTATGGTTTCTCAAAATCTTAGATTTTTTTCCCGATACGATAGTAAATCGGGTTTTAGTTTGGGATTGATCAGTGCTCTGTGTCAGCGGCCACATCTGAGCAGGGTACCACGTTGTTTTCATTGTGGCTAGATTCCTCTCATTTCCGAAAACAAGGCATCAAGGTCAATATCGCTCAATAAATCAATTTCGTTCACCTCAGTTATTTTACAGAATTAATTTTCTTCACATGCGTTATTAGTATTGAAAGATAGCCATTCCATATCCAAATCACCACAAGGACAATCCATTTTGTTTCATGATCATGTAGCAGCTAGACGACATCAATCACCAGAACCAAAGCATTTATTTATTTATAAGTCAGATGAAATGTTACAAGACCAGGCAAAAATACTAAATTAATTATATTGCTGATAAATGCAGGTATTAAAAAGGAAATAGAAAAACGAGTTAATCGTAAACACCGATCGAGAGTTTGGGGAAACCCCGGAAAGTAATTCCGGCAAAAGTTCACACGATCAATTTCACAAAACATTGTTCACATCGTGTGAACTGTTTTTTGTCCGTTCACAAATATCAGATGACGTGACTACCCCTTCCGCCAATCAGCATGAAAGAAACAGTGTAAACTTCAAAATATGAAATCATTTAAAAATGAAATGGCATTACGAAACATGTCTAAATCTTATAATGGAACATGCGTCACTCCCATAACGTGACAGACACTTTGTTTAAAGGCATCCAGATGAAATCACTCCCACTTCATTTTACACACTCCACGTTTTAGACAAACCAAAATGGCGCTACCCATCAGTGAAAAACAAACTGACCAAACACTTCCCCGCTACAAGGGCGGGGAAGAATAACTGAGAAGGTAATGTTCCTATATTTTATTATAAGCTGGATTTCCCAACAATAGACACATACATGAACTAATTGCATTTATACCTATGACTATGTGCATGGTACAACAGCTATGCATGCTATTAATACGAGGTATAAAGTATGAGGTTTCTTGTCCAAGGAATATCATGAACACAGGGCATTATATCTTGTAAAAAAATAGGGGATCATGAAATAAAAATGTTACTACCAAGTATTAGAAAAAAGATAAGTGCTGACGATAAACATCCTATGCGAGAACGTTTATGTCTGTAAAACCTAAGACCAGAATACATATGATAGTTTGCACGTGTCTCACGCAGAGGCGCAATACATGCGCTGGGTGTCATTCCTGATTTTGACACTTTCATCTCTGTTGATCATTATTTCTGTCAATCTTATAGATTCTGTTCATCAGATCATTGAGGTGTAATTTACTTGATTTCATTCGATGTGTGTGTATGAACTATCGATTAGCAGAGTGTCGAGTGTTGGTACCAACAAATCCAAAATATTGACGATCGACCCCATGAAGGGCCTCCAAGTTCAACGACAAGAGCACAGGATAAATCCGAAACCAGGCTCCACGAAATCGAGCTCAAACAGCGAATCAAACTGCTGCAAACTTTATTCAGGATACTGGAGTACGAGTCACGGATCAGACGATTAGAAATCATCTCTTCATGCAGCTCATCACCATGCTCGACGGCCACGTGTTGTGCCGCCCCTTACTAATCGTCACAGTACCAACAGACGTCAATTGTGTACGCAACGTCGACACTGGGTTAATGGTCGCTAGTCACGGGTCATGTTTTCAGACGAGTTCCGATTCACTTTGCACTTCCTTGATAGGCGTGGTCATGTCTCGCAACGTTGAAATGAACCTGAGGTGAGGTTTAATTGGGTTTAACGTCGCGTCCGAGATTATTGCACTTATATAGCGACGTGCATGTACGTGTGTGTGTTTGTGTGGCTGCTTGTACTAGTCCGGACTGATGCCGATTTATAGTGCTAGCCCACTTAGATACCGTGCCGCAGTTTAACATGAATACCCCACTCAGACACAGTATACTGACTCCGAGCCGACCAGTCCTTTTAGCCCTTTAATGCCGAGCGCCAGACAGGGTAACAACAAGTACCATCTTTTAACGTATTTTGGTATGACGCGGCCGGTGATCGAACCCCGGACCTTCCGCTCTCCGGGCGGACGCTCTACCACTAGACCACGGAGGCGGTCTGAAATGAACCTGAAACCTCATGATTTGGCGGTGGATCGGTTATGGTGTAGGGTGGCATCACTATGGCCGACCGAACCCCACTCCATATTGTGCAAGGAAGGGTCACTGGACAGTACTATCGTGACAACATACTGACACCCTTTGTTGTCCCGTTTGCAAGGCGTGTGGGTCGACGTTTTGTCTTTCGGGATACCAACACTCGTGCTCACCGTGCACGAGTCGTCAATTCTCACCTCCAGCAGCACAACATCCATTGAATGCCAAGGTCAGCAATGGCGCAGACATTTTCTCAATTGAAAACGTCCAGCTAGTGAGAGGCTTTATAGGCCGCCGACCACGTTGGCTGAAGTTGGCCAGGGGATGGATGCAAGAGGAGTGGGACAGACATCCCTAAATATCGCCATTGGGATACACACGGATTATGCCTCGTCGAGCGAATGAATGTTTGATAAATCATGGCGGTAGTAATGCACTAATGATCCAAAAACGTCAACTTTGAAATTTCTCATCTTACCCCTGTCGTCCTGGCGGTCGACCGGTTGTAATATATTCCCAATTCGTTCATTATTTTCATACAATTATTACTAGAAACTAATATCACCTATAAGTTTAAGTTATTTCCGAGTATCCCCAATGTTTTGCAGAGTATATATATTATTAACACCCTATTTGATTATGTGTGCTATGTAATATATTTGTCTGTCTATATATAATCACGCTTCAGCCCATATGTAATGTACGTCATACAAGATTGGGAACACCGACAATTTGCATCATATCTCAATGACTACAAAGACAACCAGAACACATTGGGTAATTTCAGATACTGTGGCATTTAATTGGTGAATCTGATTGCCACCAGTAAATAAATCAAATAATAACCGTTTGTTGAATGGAAAATGGGATGGGCCTCTTTGAAAAGTCACATGCCATTACACCCATGCCATTACACCCAGTTCCTGTATCTGATACCCGTCAGATTGCCATGACTATTGTGATGAAAACTGATGTCCCCCCCCCCCCCCCCCCCTCCCCACACACACACACAATGACTGACCTTCCGCTAAACCTATTACATTTACGGACCGTCGCATCATTGGCGGTGATGACTCTCTGATGTCAGGCTGTCACAACGATGTCACGATCATCAGCCCTTGAATTCCATGTGGGTCTGCCTCAACGTGGTCGGTCCTGTACTCGTCCTGTCGCCCAAAAAACGTTCCCATAGACGATGAATCACTGATGGTGACCTCTGACGGCGTCTTTCGACCTCTCTCATGGCTGCACCATCCTGAAACCATGCAACCGTCCGCCCAAATTCAACAGCACTGAGGCGACTTCGTAACATGATGTCTCCATAACTTAACATTGACAAATTTCTGCTTCCTCAACTTTTAAACTTGTGTGTGCAGTGACTGCACGAGAATCATGTAGCGCACGTGGATGGTTTGATTTGGGTGGCATACACCATCACGTGACAATGGACACGTCTTCTGTCATTTTGATTGTCGCCAAAACGCAACCAATATGGATTCCTATGGGGTTTCAATTGCATGCCTGCTCACCTTACCTCTGCAGTGTTCCAACCACTAGACATCATATCACTGCATTACTGTACGGTCAATTTTACTTTTATTGAAATATATACTGAATAGTGAGAGTTCCCATATTTGTTTCCCCAAGTACTTCATGGGTAAAACTGGTATGTCGGGCTTAACCGAGGGAATATATAGACAGACAACCATGTCGCCTACTGTATGAAAGGATAAATCATCTTGACATACACCCACTTTATCCCGACATTCAACTTAGCCTGAAATATATCCATTTCATATAGATTATTAACCACACTTAAATCACTTTAAGATGAAGAATAAGACCTACTTTGACTGTTTTTAGTCTTTTTTATATTATGGTTATATGTACTTGCATAGCTTTATGAAAAGTCGTACAAAGAGAGATATATTGTTGTGTCAGTACCCGAGCTCAAACAAATTAAATGGTAGACTATTAATGATACATACCAATAGAAGCCAAGAGTCATTTCAGACGCATTGATGATACCAGGATCAAGAAATTTGATAGTCATCTTTCTGACAGCAGTTCTTTTCCGGAATCACAAAAAGAACCACAACATGTTTTACAGCGATTTGTGGTCTTTACACCACTATCCACTACATGGCGACCGTGAGCTGACCACAGTATCGCCAGAAATGAGGTGCCGGAAACAGACTCCATTAAATCAGACATAGACCGCAAGTTCTTGAATTTGAAATTTGCAAACAAGAGAATTGAAGCCTTAAATGTAAGCACCTTTCTCAAACAAAAATCAGTCTCCCAGAATGTCCCACAATGTTTCAATTTTCAGGCACCACCAGCAATGTTATTTTCCTATACGAACTCTATTTCATCTTGATTGTTCAATTATGGGAACGTGTTAGAGAACGTGGACTTGGCAGCTCATGATGTAAATTCCACCACTTGTGGATGCCAAGACTCATAATTCTGCTACCGACCTGTAGGCCCCACAATCACAGGTGTCTATTGTATTATTGACAATTGTCGTCAGTTATTCAAATGTAACCAAAATATCGTGAGCAGTCGCCTACCAAATGCGATCGCAAGCTATAAATAATGATGGATGCTGTGAAAGCATTTGCCAAAAAATTGGCCAGAAAGAGAAGATGAACCTGTTGAATGTCTTTCAAAGGGTTTAAGTCCGTGCGTTATGTCACTGGTAGAATGCACAAGCTGAACAAGAGCAAACAGAATTGTTGTAAACCCATTCCGTCCAGGTTGTCTGTCACCCTTAGCTGTCTGGCTGTCCTACATGAAAGATGTGTAGTTGTTCCCACCGACAAGGTGCCAAAAGACATAACCATTATCTGTAAGTATCACGTCATTAATTGTTTGCTCAATGAACTTGGTATATGTGACATTTCAAATAATGCTACGTACATGTACAAGGTCTGAATGGTAACTGGGGAAGAACGATGTGTCAGTGCTATCGACTTGACTCATGAAAACATGTTCATTCCTCTTTTGTACTCGATTCCAAAGCTCCATACATTCCATACAAAGGGGGATATTTTATTGATTCCAGCAAATGTACCACCAAATCCCTATCATAAAGACTAACCACAATCCCTAGTGCAATCAAGGAATGACTTTCTCAAGCTAATATTCACAGAAAGAACTTGAGACAAGCAGAATTAATACCACATGGATTCTAAAAAAATGCAAGGATTTGCTTGAAATTTGTAATCTCAGAAAATATTTTATGTCTACAATTTAACATTTTGAAAGCTTCACATGCGTTGTGTAGCCTTGATCGAACAACATTTGAGCGAGAGTCGCATGGCGCTCTTTGGGATCTTCTCAGGTCGATTGAACCTCAAAATTTGTGAAATGTAACACCAAAGGCTGACGTTGTTGAAATATTACTCGACATAAAAAGAAAGTTGACTATTGGAAACTTGAAGTCATCCCTCATACAGTTTTGTGGAAAGTGTTTTATCACTGTGAATGGTTGTGCATACATATATAGATGAAACGGACAAAGGGATCTCACTGTTTCCTCTATTTCCAATTCAGGTGGGTATATCAGGAAGTTGACTATTTGATGGTCATTGTTTGTGTGTTTGTTGTTTAACGCCGCACTCAGAAATATTCCAGCTGTATGACGGTGGTATGTAAATAATCGAGTCTGGACATGACAATCCAGTGATTGACATCATGAGCATTGATCCACGCAATTGGGATACGATTACATGCATCAACCAAATCAGCAAGCCTGACCACCCGATCCGGTTCGTCGCCTCTTACGACAAGCATAGTCGCTTTTTACCCCAGGATTGAAGGATATCAGATGAACTATATACCTGAATCTTAAACTTCTTGGCCAAATTTCCTTGTTTTGATTTTGCCAATTCGAGCACAATTTCCGACTCATATGCATAAAGAAAGGGGAGACAACACACACACACACACACACACACACACACACACACACACACACACACACACACACACACACACACACACACACACACACACACACACACACACTTATAGGGTCAGACATCCCCTGTGTCTTTCACAATGACTCGTCCTTCGAAAAAAACATAAAAACTTTATCATGTATAAAAATGTTATTCACGATTCTAACAATTACTTACAGGCACTGCATTTGTTACAATTCATACAATTCCACATCATGAGTGAGGAATGTCATTTACAGTCCAAATATGACATTCATGACACATGTCATCAACAATTTTACCCCGCCACGTACCTGGATGACAGCTTTAAGCCTTCGTCTCATCCCTCCATTCCCAGAGCTGCCTTCAATTGGGGAAGAATCTGTACCGATGGGTCCAGTGCCTGTACTTAACCACCACCCCCCACCCCCACCCATCCCCCACCCAAAAAAAAAAAAAAAAAAAATTATAATAAAAATAAATAAATAATAAAAAGAAAAGAAAAGAAAGTGAAAGTAGTTGGTTTCATGCGTCCCAAAAGAAAGGCACTTCTCATTTTGTTACTTCCAAGCTCATTGATATCCCAAAACGTTGGTCTATTTGCACGAAAAGAGACACCCAGTGCTGGAATAACATGTCTAGAAACGTGCCATACATCGTGTTTAGGTTGGAACACAGAGACTGTTCATATGCATGAGACAAAATGGACAGAAAGGGTCTTTCTGAGGACGTGCTTAGATCAACATGCACGTTTTTAATGTGAAACATGCATTGTTGGGTACTGAAGGTACTCATGGAAGTGAAAGGTAGCAACAACAACCACCCGCCAGTTCTTTGAGTGACACGGAATAAACCACATACAGCTGGAATGTTGCTGAATGCGGCGTCAAACAACAGACAAACAAACCAAACTGGTGAAAGTCCAGAGATCTCTATGCGTTCACTCTGCATGTTTCACCATTGTGGTTTTCAAGAGAAATGGCAACATTTATGGAAATTCATAAAATATATTACCGATATTCACAAAGGGAAGATGCATGAATAGCATTACGCTCTGTGTAGATCTACAGCGCATGACATTTAATTTTACACGGACTAATAATGAAAGTCACAGGTGGTGCAACTATCATTTGTTGGATATGATCAGCGAAGCCTGCGTACATTGAGGTATATACGTACTGTACTTTATCGTGTAGACTGTTGTGTTTGACACTGCTAGTTATTGTCAATAGTGATATTCACTGCCTGAACAGTGCGCCTGTGTTAGTTTCACGGTCTCAACAGTGTCTGCGACAGTTTCGTCTTGTTAACAGTGTCTGTGATAGTTTCATCTTCTCAACAGTGTATCTGAGAGAGCTTCACCTTGTTAACAGTGTGCCTGTGGCCAAGATGTGTAATTGTTCCCACTGACAAGGTGCCAAAAGACATAACCATTATCTGTAAGTATCACGTCATTAATTGTTTGCTCAATGAACTTGGTATATGTGACATTTCAAATAATGCTACGTACATGTACAAGGTCTGAATGGTAACTGGGGAAGAACGATGTGTCAGTGCTATCGACTTGACTCATGAAAACATGTTCATTCCTCTTTTGTACTCGATTCCAAAGCTCCATACATTCCATACAAAGGGGGATATTTTATTGATTCCAGCAAATGTACCACCAAATCCCTATCATAAAGACTAACCACAATCCCTAGTGCAATCAAGGAATGACTTTCTCAAGCTAATATTCACAGAAAGAACTTGAGACAAGCAGAATTAATACCACATGGATTCTAAAAAAATGCAAGGATTTGCTTGAAATTTGTAATCTCAGAAAATATTTTATGTCTACAATTTAACATTTTGAAAGCTTCACATGCGTTGTGTAGCCTTGATCGAACAACCTTTGAGCGAGAGTCGCATGGCGCTCTTTGGGATCTTCTTAGGTCGATTGAACCTCAAAATTTGTGATCACCGATATTCAGATGCGTTCACTCTGCATGTTTCACCATTGTGGTTTTCAAGAGAAATGGCAATATTTATTGTAATTCATAAAAAAAAACCTCACTGATATTCACAAAAGGAAGATGCATGAATAGCATTACGCTCTGTGTAGATCTACAGCGCATGACATTTAATTTTACACGGACTAATAATGAAAGTCACAGGTGGTGCAACTATCATTTGTTGGATATGATCAACGAAGCCTGCGTACATTGAGGTATATACGTACTGTACTTTATCGTGTAGACTGTTGTGTTTGACACTGCTAGTTCTTGTCAATAGTGATATTCACTGCCTGAACAGTGCGCCTGTGTTAGTTTTACGGTCTCAACAGTGTCTGCGACAGTTTCGTCTTGTTAACAGTGTCTGTGATAGTTTCATCTTCTCAACAGTGTATCTGAGAGAGCTTCACCTTGTTAACAGTGTGCCTGTGGCAACGTGTCATCAGCGTGTTCACAATCACCGCATCGACAGTGCCAGGAAGAGCCAGTGTGTGTGAAGGGTTTGTCTGGCGGACATGGCGATGTGGCTAAGTGAGATCTACACCTGTATGTGGGTGTTCAGCCAGGTGTCACTATCAGCTGCAGCTGGGAGAGAGAATAACGGCAGACCCAACATTGTCCTCATTCTTGCTGATGATTTAGGTGAGTATGTGTCTACCGACGTTAACCCCGTGTCTGAGTACTATGTCCACGTTACCTCGTGTGCAGACAATGTGCTCACGTGACACCGCGTGTGGGTAACATGCAAACGTGACTGCTTGATCAGGTAACATGGCCATGTGACCCCGTGTGTTGGTAACACGCCCGCGTGACCCGTGTGTAGTTAAAATGCAAACGTGATCAGGTAACATGTCCACATGACCCCGTGTGTTGGTAACACGCCTTCGTGACCCGTGTGTAGTTAAAATGCAAATGTCACCGCGTGATCAGGTAACATGGCCACATGAACCCGTGTGTTGGTAACACGCCTGCGTGACCCGTGTGTAGGTAAAATGCAAACGTGACCGCGTGATTAGGTAACATGGCCACGTGACCCCGTGTGTTGGTAACACGCCCGCGTGACCCGTGTGTAGGTAAAATGGAAACGTGACCGCGTGATTAGGTAACATGGCCACGTGACCCCGTGTGTTGGTAGCACGCCCACGTGACCTGTGTGCAGGTAACATGCCCACGTTACCTCGTGTTTAGGAAACATGCTCAAGTGACTGCATGTGTATAGGTAACTAGCCCACGAGACCCATTGTGTTGGCATTATGCAAACAACAAACACATTTGACGATGTTATCAATACACTGTCTCCTGTAGATACAATTGAATTAGTGGCAGGCTCAAGTCAATATACATATGTCCGTAACTTTTAGTTGAATTTGTTTTGTTTGTTGTTTAGCGCTGCACTCAGCAATATTCCAGCAATATGACGGCGGTCTGTAAAATAATCGAGTCTGGACCAGACAATCCAGTGATTGACATCATGAGCATCGATCCACGCAATTTGGATCGATGACATGCATCAACCAAGTCAGCGAGCCTGACCACCCTTTTCCATTAGTCGCCTTTCGACAAGCATAGTCGCCTTTTACGTCAAGTATGAGTTGCTGAAGACCCATTCTTTAGTTAAGATTTATTAGTTAGTAGAAAGGTTATATGACCTTGTTGCGATTTTAACTAATTCGCTTATTACGATATTTACATAATATATTATATGTTGGAATATTATTAATGCTTTATACTTTAGTGTTTTACACCTTAACAATTCATTCCGTAGGTCTGAAGGGGCGGTCGGGTAGCCTAGTGGTTTAAAACGTTCGCTCGTCACCCCCAAGACCCGGGTTCGATTCCCGACATGTGTGAAGCCCATTTCTTGTGTCCCCCGCCGTGATATTGCTGGAATATTGCTAAAAGCGGCGTAAAAACATACCCACTCACTCACCATAGGTCTGTAACATTAAGTTTGCTTTCTCTCAGTTTAACCTCCGCTTATTGTCACACTGCATGCTTTTGACTGACAGCACTCCTTGCTCTAGCGCGCCCTGGCCCAGTCTATTGTCCCGTTTATAGGCCAAGCTGACCAAAGTTACAACCTCAACGTTTATATATTACATTTTATACATCAGTTGCTACTTTCACCTCACAAGGAAAAACAAAATTTATTCTCTACGGTGGCCCATAAGGGACATGGGGTCTGTTTTTCAATATTTTGATATTTCACTTACTTTTATGGTAACCTTTTGCAGATTAACACAATTTGTCATACAAATATGTGATAAATCATGTATAAAAACAACCGAAAACATGGAAAATGTACTTTCAAGTAGCTATAGAATCGCTGAAAAGTGAAGCGAAAATGTCACAAACTACAATGAAAATGTCAAAAACAAAAACGAAAAGGTCAAAAACTAAAATGAAAATATAAAAAAAACCCACGAAAATGTCAAAAACAAAAGCGAAAATGTCAAAAACTAAAATTGAATAAACAGAAAACTATTTCCACCGCGGTTTTGGATTTGGACGTGAAGACATTTATTCACACTAAGGTTGGTTGATCTTTTATTTTATGACGTTGTATATATGGATGATTTCTAATTATTGCAATTAGAAATAATATATATTGTGGGATGCTTTCTTGATTTGATTAGAAACATAATGCATCTTGAAAATATTTATAGTTCTTGATGAACTCACAGTTCAATAAGTCATTATTATCTGTATAAAAACATATTAAATTCAAAACCTAAATATATATAAGCTAAGTAATATATGTTAAACCCCTCTGTACAGTAATGGAACGTAAATGTATGTCTGTATGTATGTATGACTGATTGATATATCTTGGTAAGTGCAGGTGTATGAGTGTTGTATGTCTGATATGAGTGGTTGTTGTACCATATATTTTTATTTACATTTTTTTCCCCAAAGGATATCTCTGTATATATAGTATTCTGCATATATATTTCCTTATTATGCATATTTGTCAGTGCCAATGTTCGCCGTGTGCGCATTGTTCACAGTTATTACCAGTACAGATTTCACCTATCTGGTATGTAATGTAATGTCAACTTAGATAATTTAGAAATATTTTATCCTCCATGATTTGTGATACTTCCTAAAGTTGCATACAGCATGTTCATTATCACTATATTATTATATTAATATATTTTGTATCTGTATTGATGTAGTACAGATACGCTCAGTACTAGATGATGTAAAGTAAGAGCTATTCATTTAATAAAAGTGATATGTATATTTAAAATATTCAAAGAGTACCTGTAACAGATTGTTTATATTGATTAAATTCTATGTTATATTCGCTTATGTTGTTATTTTATTGTTTCAGGCTGACGTACACATGTGTCAATACAATTCATAATAAAACGTCATCAGCCTCACCCCCGACAGCTGTTTGTGATTATTTGGGCTCGTATAACGCCTACAATGCAATCGGCCAACACAAGAACGGTTACAGATATGGCATAAATACATTATCTTTTGTAGGCTGACACACAACTGAATATATAACCACTATATTATCTCATGTAGGCTGACACACAACTAAATATATTATCTCATGTAGGCTGACACACAACTGAATATATTACCACTATATTATCTCATGTAGGCTGACACACAAGTAAATATATTACCACTATATTATGTCCTGTAGGCTGACACACAACTGAATATATTACCACTATTTTAACTCCTGTAGGCTGACACACAACTGAAAATATTACCACTATATTATCTCCTTTAGGCTGACGCACAACTGAATATATTACCACTATATTATCTCATGTAGGCTGACACACAACTGAATATATCACCACTATATTATCTCATGTAGGCTGAAACACAAGTGAATATCATACCACTATTTTGTCTCATGTAGGCTGACACACAACTGAATACATTACCACTATAATATCTCCCGTAGGCTGAAACACAACTGAATATATTGCCACTATATTATCTCATGTAGGCTGACACACAACTGAAAATATCACCACTATATTATCTCCTGTAGGCCGACACACACTGAATATATTATCACTATATTATCTCCTGTAGGCCGACACGCAACTGAATATATTATCACCATATTATCTCCTGTAGGCTGACACGCAAGTGAATACATCACCACTATATTATCTCATGTAGGCTGACACACAACTGAATATATTACCACTATATTATCTCCTGTAGGCTGACACACAACTGAATATATTACAACTATATTATCTCCTGTAGGCTGACACACAAGTGAATATATTATCACTATATTATCTCCTGTAGGCTGACACACAACTGAATATATTACCACTATATTATCTCATGTAGGCCGACACACAACTGAATATATCATCACTATGTTATCTCCTGTAGGCTGACACACAAGTGAATACATTACCACTATATTATCTCCTGTAGGCTGACACACAACTGAATATATTACCACTATATTGTCTCATGTAGGCTGACACATACGTGAATATATTACCACTATATTATCTCCTGTAGGCTGAAACACAACTGAATATATTGCCACTATATTATCTCATGTAGGCTGACACACAACTGAAAATATCACCACTATATTATCTCCTGTAGGCCGACACACACTGAATATATTATCACTATATTATCTCCTGTAGGCCGACACGCAACTGAATATATTATCACCATATTATCTCCTGTAGGCTGACACACAAGTGAATACATCACCACTATATTATCTCATGTAGGCTGACACACAACTGAATATATTACCACTATATTATCTCCTGTATGCTGACACACAACTGAATATATTACAACTATATTATCTCCTGTAGGCTGACACACAAGTGAATATATTATCACTATATTATCTCCTGTAGGCTGACACACAACTGAATATATTACCACTATATTATCTCATGTAGGCCGACACACAACTGAATATATCATCACTATGTTATCTCCTGTAGGCTGACACACAACTGAATATATTACCACTATATTATCTCCTGTATGCTGACACACAACTGAATATATTACAACTATATTATCTCCTGTAGGCTGACACACAAGTGAATATATTATCACTATATTATCTCCTGTAGGCTGACACACAACTGAATATATTACCACTATATTATCTCATGTAGGCCGACACACAACTGAATATATTACCACTATATTGTCTCATGTAGGCTGAAACACAAGTGAATATATCACAATTATATTATCTCATGTAGGCTGAAACACAGCTGAATATATTACCACTATTTTGTTTCATGTAGGCTGAAACACAACTGAATATATTACCACTATATTATCTCCCGTAGGCTGAAACACAGCTGAATATATTACCACTATATTATCTCATGTAGGCTGACGCACAACTGAATATATTACCACTCTATTATCTCATGTAGGCTGACACACAACTGAATATGTTACCACTATATTGTCTCATGTAGGCTGACACACAACTAAATATAGTATCTCATGTAGGCTGACACACAACAAAATATATTTTCTCCTGTAGGCTAACACACAACTGAATATATTACCACTATATTCTCTGTAGGCTAACACACAACTGAATATATTACCACTATATTATATCATGTAGACTGACACACAACTGAATATATTACCACTATATTATCTCATGTAGGCTGACACACAACTGAATATATTACCACTATATTCTCTCCTGTAGGCTAACATACAACTGAATATATTACCACTATATTATCTCCTGTAGGCTAACACAGAACTGAACATATTACCACTATATTATCTCCTGTAGGCCGACACACAAGTGAATATATCACCACTATATTATCTCCTGTAGGCTGACACAAGTGAATATATTACCACTATATTATCTCCTGTAGGCTGACACACAACTGAATATATTGCTACTATATTATCTCATGTAGGCCGACACACAAGTGAATATATTATAGCCATATTATCTCCTGTAGGCCAGACACACAACTGAATATATTTCCACTATATTATATCCTGTAGGCTGGAACGACGTTGGCTACCACAATCCCGACATGAAGACCCCCAACATCGACCGCCTGGCAGCGCAAGGTATCAAGTTGAACCAGTCCTACACACAGTCTATATGCACACCGTGAGTACAGTGACATAGTGATCTGGGTTTAACGCCACTTTTAACATTATTCAGGCCATACCATAGCGGTGGAAAAACCAGAAGTAACCAAAGTTCACAGTGGGTTTGTGGATTCGAACCCTTGTCCTCGACGTGTCGAGCAACGTGAAAACTGTGTATTGTTTGTTCATTTTAATGTGGATCGATAAGGGGGAGAACCCTATGTATGTTTTTTAATGAATACATTATGCTTCTCATTTGTGGGTGAGCAAACTCCGAGTTAAAAAGCGTACCGTAGAATAAGTAAAAGCGACAAATCCCGTTTTATATTCTGAGAAATCTATGTAAATAGAAGAGTCGATTGTACGATGCTGGCTAAGTCATGAGCATGTGTTTGTGAATCACTTGTCTCAAAATTCTGATTAACTGGTGATCTGACACTGATTACAAGACATACTCTGTTTCCAGCACAAGATCAGCTCTGATGACAGGCAGATACCCTTTTAAGACGGGAATGCAAGTACGATACATTTTATAGTCAGTTTTATTCACAAACACGATTATTATAAACAAAATATCATTTCGAGGAACAGGAAAATTATAACGTATAATATCTAACATCTAGTTTCTGAAATCAACATATTTTACAGAAAAGAAACAGTTGTTAAATTATCTTAAAAAACAAAAGGAAGCCAAGAGATTTGCATGAGCTAGTATTGGATATGTTTCTTTCAGGTTCTGTATCGCAGACTGAAGATATTTATACCTCTGTAGTTCGTTGCCATGTACAGCTTAATCATAACTACTTGATCACCACTGTAAAATAATGACAGCTGCCTGTGTTTCACCACTGCAAAGTAATGACAGCTCCCTGAGTTTCACCGTGGACATCTCCCTGTGTTTCGTCACTGTAAAATAATGACCGCTGCCTGTGTTTCCCCACTGTAAAATATTGACAGCTCTCTGTGTTTCGCCACTGTAAAATAGTGACAGCTCCATGTGTTTCGCTACTGTAAAATAGTGACAGCTCCATGTGTTTCGCCAATGTATAAAATAGTGACAGCTCGACGTGTTTCACCAATGTTAAATAATGACAGCTCCTTGTCTTTCGCAATGTAAAATGATGTCAGCTCCCTGTGTTTCACTACTGCAAAATAATGACAGCTCGCAGTGTTTCTCCACTGTAATGTAATGACAGCTCCTTGTGTTTCACCACTGTAAAATGATGACAGCCCCTTGTATTTCATCACTGTAAAATAATGACAGCTCCCCCACTGTAAACTAATGACAGCTCCGTATGTTTCACTACTGTAAAATTATGCTGTCTTGCAGCACGGCGTGCTGCTGTCGAATGACAATGCCTGTCTCCCCACACAACACCAGCTGCTGAGCGAGGATCTCCGACACCATGGCTACTCCACTCACCTGGTCGGCAAGTAAGACACGTGACTAACAAGTGCCCCTTACTGGTAATCTGATCAAAATCCATTCTAAGCCATTATTTATCAGTTCCACAAAGAACCTCTGAGCAGTAAAGAGCCTTCTGGTCTACAATCTAGGTTTCGTCAGTTTCGTAAATGTTCAAAATAATTTTCGTTTCGTCTTGCAATGTTTCGTTTCGGCGCAACATGTTGAGGTCTGACACGATTACTGCACGCTCGTCCTCTATCACGGAACTCGCTCTTTCCTCAGATGGCACCTGGGGTTCTGCAAGTGGGCGTGTACTCCCACCTACCGTGGGTTTGACACCTTCTTCGGGTACTACTCAGGGGCCCTCGACTACTACACCAAAACATGTGAGTTGCATCATGTCAGTAATTATACATGTATGTGAGTTCCACAATGTGACTTATATGTGAGTCCCACCATGTGAGTTCTTATACATGTATGTGAGTTCAACAATGTGACTTATATGTGAGTTGCACCATGTGAGTTATTATGCATGTATGTGAGTTCCACAATGTGACTTATATGTGAGTTGCACCATGTGAGTAATATGTGAGTTGCACCATGTGACTTATATGTGAGTTGCATCATGTGACTTATATGTGAGTTGCACCATGTGAGTTGTTATATATGTATGTGAGTCCACAATCAGACTTATGTATGAGTTGCACCATGTGACTTATATGTGAGTTGCACCATGTGACTTATATGTGAGTTGCTCTATGTGAGTTATATGCGAGTTGCACCATGTGAGTTGTTATACATGTATGTGAGTTCCACAATCAGACTCATATGTGAGTTGCACCATGTGACTTATATGTGAGTTGCAGATTTATCATTCGTAAGTGAAGTTAACTGCCTTATTGTGACGACACAACAGATTTATCATTCGTAAGTGTAGTTAACTGCCTGATTGTGACGACACAACAGATTTATCATTCGTAAGTGAAGTTAACTGCCGGATTGTGACGACACAACAGATTTATCATTCGTAAGTGTAGTTAACTGCCTGATCGCGACGACACAACAGATTTATCATTCGTAAGTGTAGTTAACTGCCTGATTGTGACGACACAGGTGATTTATCATTCGTAAGTGAAGTTAACTGCCTGATTGTGACGACACAACATATTTATCATTGTAAGTGTAGTTAACTGCCTGATTGTGACGACACAACAGATTAATCATTGTAAGTGAAGTTAACTGCCTGATTGTGTCGACACAACAGATTAATCATTGTAATTTTAGTTAACTGCCTGATTGTGACGACACAACAGATTTATCATTTATTGGTACAGTGTACTGCCTGACTGTGACGACACAACAGCTTTAACATTCGTAGGTGCAGTGTCCTGCCTGATTGTGACGACACAACAGATTTAACATTCGTAAGTGTAGTTACTTCCTGATTGTGACGACACAACAGATTTAACATTCGTAAGTGTAGTTACTGCCTGATTGCGACGACACAACAGATTTATCATGTATTGGTACAGTGTACTGCCTGACTGTGACGACACAACAGATTTAACATTCGTAAGTGTAGTTAACTGCCTGATTGCGACGACACAACAGATTTATCATGTATTGGTACAGTGTACTGCCTGACTGTGACGACACAACATATTTAACCTTCGTAAGTGTAGTGAATGCCTGATTGTGACGACACAACATATTTAACCTTCGTAAGTGTAGTTAATGCCTGATTGTGACGACATAACATATTTAACCTTCGTAAGTGTAGTGAATGCCTGATTGTGACGACACAACATATTTAACCTTCGTAAGTGTAGTTAATGCCTGATTGTGACGACATAACATATTTAACCTTCGTAAGTGTAGTGAATGCCTGATTGTGACGACACAACAGATTTAACATTCGTAAGTGTAGTTAACTGCCTGATTGTGACGACACAACAGATTTATCATTGTAAGTGTAGTTAACTGCCTGATTGTGACGACACAGGAGATTTATCATTGTAAGTGAAGTTAACTGCTTGATTGTGACGACACAACAGATTTATCATTCGTAAGTGAAGTTAACTGCCTGATTGTGACGACACAACAGATTAATCATTGTAATTGTAGTTAACTGCCTGATTGTGACGACACAGGTGATTTATCATTGTAAGTGAAGTTAACTGCCTGATTGTGACGACACAACAGATTTATCATTCGTAAGTGTAGTTAACTGCCTGATCGCGACGACACAACAGATTTATCATTCGTAAGTGTAGTTGACTGCCTGATTGCGACGACACAACATATTTATCATGTATTGGTACAGTGTACTGCCTGACTGTGACGACACAACAGCTTTAACATTCGTAGGTGCAGTGTCCTGCCTGATTGTGACGACACAACAGATTTAACATTCGTAAGTGTAGTTACTGCCTGATTGTGACGACACAACAGATTTAACATTCGTAAGTGTAGTTACTGCCTGATTGTGACGACACAACAGATTTAACATTCGTAAGTGTAGTTACTGCCTGATTGTGACGACACAACAGATTTAACATTCGTAAGTGTAGTGAATGCCTGATTGTGACGACACAACAGATTTAACATTCGTAAGTGTAGTTACTTCCTGATTGTGACGACACAACAGATTTAACATTCGTAAGTGTAGTTACTGCCTGATTGTTACGACACAACAGATTGGCCCACTGAGAAGGAAATATTTTATTGAAGAATCATTTTGACGCGCCAATTTAAAAGGGGATTGTTTCTTAAATGATGCAAAACGTGTTTGCTGCAGATGCATCCGACTACACCGGGCACCCCTACCTGGATCTGCGTGACGACATCTACCCTGCCTGGACGTATTCCTATAACACCTCCTACTCCACAGTAGCTGCACTCTTTAGATACTTTAATCCGACAAGGCCGATTATATTATATTTCACTGTTGTTTAAATTAATTTTAATATTTGAATTATTCGAAAATATTCGCTGATTAATCGAATGAATGTAATGTTTAATTTAATGTTTGATGGAAACCAGTTCTAATGCATTCACTTATTAAAAATGACTTGACTCAGATTTAAAAGGATGACACATATTTGAACTTCTCTTTCAGCACATGTTCACAGGTCGGGCCACTGATGTGATTAATCAACACAATACTTCAACACCTCTATTCCTGTATCTCTCTCTTCAAAACCCGCATTTCCCCCTGCAGGTAGGAGTGTGTCACACCTAGAAATATGCAGTTGAACTGTAAATGTAAAATGGTCAATGGTAATGGGACACGAAGCCCTAAATACGGAAAAGACATTCAGATCGTTTCCCTTCATGTGTTTTCTGTTCATGTATACAAAAGCCAAGAGATCATACGAACAGCGAATACACCTAGGAGGTGCACCATTGTATGTTCAGAAGTAATCTTGTATTTACAATTTTCACTGTCAGCTTGATATCATCACATGTGCACTTTGTTCTGTGCATTTGCAACTTGATTCTGATTGGTGTGTGAGTGAGTGTGTGTGTGTGTGTGTGTGTGTGTGTGTGTGTGTGTGTGTGTGTGTGTGTGTGTGTGTGTGTGTGTGTGTGTGTGCGCGTGTGTGTATGCATGTCTGTGTCTGTGTGTGTGCAAGTGTGTGTATGTGCATGTGAGTAAGTGTGCATATGCGTGAGTGTTTGTGTGTGTGTTTGTGTGTCTGTGTGCAAGTGCGTGTGTGGATAAGGTATGTGTCTGTGCGTGTGTTTGTGCGTGTGTGCAAGTGTGTGTATGTGTTTGTGTTTGTGTGCGTGTATGTTTTATGCTGTTCAAAACAGCGTTTAACAAACATCACTTACTCACTTGATTCTGTATTTTCCGTACAGGTGCCGGAGAAGTACACGAATATGTACCCGGATGTAGTGAACGAGAGAAGACGGACCTATTGTGGTAGGACGTACACACCCCAAACACACACACACACACACACACACACACACACACACACACACACACACACACACACACACACACACACACACACACACACACACAAACAGATATACTGTTGTGAACAAGAGAAGACGAACATATTGTAGTAGGACGTATATATACACCACACACACACAGATATACTGTTGTGAACGAGAGAAGACGGACATATTGTGGTAGGACGTGCATACACACCACCCATAAAGAGATATACTGTTGTGAACGAGAGAAGACGGACATATTGTGGTAGGACGTGCATACACACCACCCATAAAGAGATATACTGTTGTGAACGAGAGAAGACGGACATATTGTGGTAGGACGTGCATACACACCACCCACAAAGAGATATACTGTTGTGAACGAGAGAAGACGGACATATTGTGGTAGGACGTGCATACACACCACCCATAAAGAGATATACTGTTGTGAACGAGAGAAGACGGACATATTGTGGTATGACGTGCATACACACCACCCATATAGAGATATACTGTTGTGAACGAGAGAAGACGGACGTATTGTGGTAGGACGTGCATACACACCACCCATAAAGAGATATACTGTTGTGAACGAGAGAAGACGGACATATTGTGGTAGGACGTGCATACACACCACCCATATAGAGATATACTGTTGTGAACGAGAGAAGACGGACGTATTGTGGTAGGACGTATATACACACCACACACACAGATATACTGTAGTTAACGAGAGTAGACGGACGTATTGTGGTAGGACGTATATACACACCACACACACATATATACTGTAGTTAACGAGAGTAGACGGACGTATTGTGGTAGGACGTATATACACATCACACACAGATATTCTGTACACACATCACACACACAGATACACTGTAGTGAACGTTAGAAGACGGACCTATTGTGGTAGGACGTACATACACACCACACACACGGATATACTGTAGTGAACGAGACAAGACGGACCTATTGTGGTAGGACGTATATACACACCACACACACGGATATACTGTAGTGAACGAGACAAGACGGACCTATTGTGGTAGGACGTATATACACATCACAAACACAGATATTCTGTTGTGAACGTTAGAAGACGGACCTATTGTGGTAGGACGTGTACACACACAACACTTAGGTACACACAGTAAGGCTATTTCCTCAACAGTGATACATTTCCCTTGTGTAGGAATGGTGTCGGCGCTGGATGAAGGCATTGGGAACGTCACGGCGGCGTTGGAGGAGCGAGGCATGATGGACAACACTCTCATACTGTTCTTATCTGATGTAAGTTGAAGACGCTGGGTTGAAGATGTAGCATTGCATAAAAAATTGATAGTTTGATGTTGGAGACTTTCATGGGTCCCATGATTTGAACATATTTGTGTATGCTACTCTAATTATCTCCCAGCAAAAACATTTAAAAAAAAATTCATCACTGTTTAAAACATGATAAAAACGTCAAATTACAACCGTATTTTTATTTCTCGATTTCCTAACCACTCCAACTTAAATTGACAGTTATCCTTAATGAAAACAAAACAGCGCCCCAAGTCTTCAAAACCTCGCGGTCTTTTTTGGTTTTGCAAATTCACGAACGGCGTTGCTGATCGCCAGGACAGATTGCAACACAACGTGTAAGTGAGTGAGTTGGGTTTAACGCTTTTAACAGTATTCCAGTTATATCACGGCGTGTCAGCTTAATGTGGGAGGAAAGCCCGAAGTGATGCCGGTCTCAGACGTTTACCACTTAGGTGAAACCCACGAGCACGGGTATGGTGCTGACAGCAATTAACAAAACGAACAACTTAAAAATTGAAATGCCTCAAAAATGCACAATCGGAATAGAATTAGTATGCAGAGAAAATAATAACAGTTTTGGGCGAGGGTGGTTGTGAGGGTAAGTTGGAGATGGGTAACAAGATATATGTGTATGTGGACGAACATCTGGAGGAATTGCCTGTTTTTTCCAGAGATTTAAAGATACAAAAATACCAGTCGTTAATTTCTTTTCATTTTTACGTTTGCTTTTACAGAATGGACCTGACATGGGTTTCCATGGCAATAGTTTTCCTCTGAGGGGAGCAAAGTTCTCAATCTGGGAGGGTGGTCACCGATCGGTCGGTTTTCTGCACGGCGCGGGGCTGCAGAAGACGGGAGTCACATATGACGGGTCAGTTGAAGGGGTGGAGTGGGGTGGTTGTTGTGGAGGAAGACTATGACGGGTCTGTTGATGGGGCGGAGTGGGGTGGTTGTTGTGGAGGAAGACTATGACGGGTCAGTTGAAGGGGTGGAGTGGGGTGGTTGTTGTGGAGGAAGACTATGACGGGTCTGTTGATGGGGCGGAGTGGGGTGGTTGTTGTGGAGGAAGACTATGACGGGTCTGTTGATGGGGTGGAGTGGGGTGGTTGTTGTGGAGGAAGACTATGACGGGTCTGTTGATGGGGTGGAGTGGGGTGGTTGTTGTGGAGGAAGACTATGACGGGTCTGTTGATGGGGTGGAGTGGGGTGGTTGTTGTGGAGGAAGACTATGACGGGTCTGTTGATGGGGTGGAGTGGGGTAGTTGTTGTGGAGGGAGACTATGACGGGTCTGTTGATGGGGTGGAATGGGGTGGAGTGGGGTGCTTGTTGTGGAGGAAGACTATGACGGGTCTGTTGATGGGGCGGAGTGGGGTGGTTGTTGTAGAGAAAGACTATGACAGGTCTGTTGATGGGGTGGAGAGGGGTGGTTTTTGTGGAGGGAGACTATGACGGCTCTGTTGATGGGGTGGAGTGGGGTAGTTGTTGTGGAGGGAGACTATGACGGCTCTGTTGATGGGGTGGAGTGGGGTGGTTGTTGTGGAGGGAGACTATGACGGCTCTGTTGATGGGGTGGAGTGGGGTGGTTGTTGTGGAGGGAGACTATGACGGCTCTGTTGATGGGGTGGAGTGGGGTGGTTGTTGTAGAGAAAGACTATGACGGCTCTGTTGATGGGGTGGAGAGGGGTGGTTGTTGTGGAGGGAGACTATGGCGGCTCTGTTGATGGGGTGGAGTGGGGTGGAGTGGGTTGGTTGTTGTTGAGGAAGACTATGACGGGTCTGTTGATAGGGTGGAGTGGGTTGGTTGTTGTGGAGGGAGACTATGACGGCTCTGTTGATGGGGTGGAATGGGGTGGTTGTTGTGGAAGTAGACTATGACACGTCAGTTTGAAGGAGCGCGGGGTCGTTTCTGAAGACGTCAGTATTGCAGCTTGGTGCACGTACTTTAAGATCTACTTACTATAGTCGTAGAGTAAGATCTGTTGAAGGAGGTCGATGTCGTTACTGGAGACGTCTCTGTTGCAGGTTGGTGCACGTCGTGGACTGGCGGCCGACTCTGATGGCGGCGGCGGGAGGAGGTAAAGTGGCGCCAGGTGAGGCAGACTGAGTGTATACACAGAGACTCAACACGATATTCAGATATACGATGTCTTGCACGACTGTATAATGTTCCATGGGAGATATTTGGTAGGGCATGACAATCTCACACACTTTACAAACGGCAGGTGACATAAATGTACCGCTTATTTGTTCTTCGTAAAGGAACGGAGACCCATATCACAGCGTTTCTTTGATGTACAAGGCTCGTACCAGCAAGAACACTTTCACTTGACATTCCCTTTTGAGAGTTTATTATTGTTCCAAGAATGGAAAACAACTTTTGTATTTCTGATTGTTTGTTCTATTATGATTGGTCACCATGACAACAATATTGTTACAGAAGCTGATATCGATGGGATGAACCTCTGGGAAAACATTCGGACTGGATCACTTTCCCCGAGAACAGAGTTTGTCTACAATCTGGACGATGTTCAGGACGACTTTTTTAATGTTGGTAACGCGGCGTTGAGGTGAGGGGAGTTTATCTGAGAGTCACTGAGTCAATACAAATACAGAGTTGCGAACCATGAGCTCGGACAGAATGCTGGCGAACCATAAATACCTTGGTGATAATCTGTGGTCTGAACGAATGAACCAGCCCAAGCGACAATCCATCTAACTGTATATTTCTTCACCATTATCTATTTTCATTATGAAATACAATAACTCGCCTTTGTTTCCATGGGAACTACCACGTACAAATCTCTGTTGTTTTAGAGATGGCGACTACAAACTCATCCTCGGTTATTCGGGGTCATATAATGATTGGTACACGCCTCAAAATAACACAGAAGACGAACCACTGCATTTGGGATGTTATATTGCGGGGGACCACCCAGAACAGCTGTATAACCTGAGAGGTAAGAAGGCTTGACACGGATCAGATGTATGACCTGAGAGGTATGAAGACTTAACACAGAGCAGCTGTATAATCTGAGAGGTAAGAAGGCTTGACACGGACCAGATGTATGACCTGAGAGGTATGAAGACTTAACACAGAGCAGCTGTATAATCTGAGAGGTAAGAAGGCTTGACACAGAGCAGCTGTATAATCTGAGAGGTAAAAAGGCTTGACACGGAGCAGATGATTAAAATGAGACTCTCTGAGGTATGAAGACTTAACACAGAGCAGCTGTATAACCTGAGAGGTAAAAAGGCTTGACACAGAGCAGCTGTATAACCTGAGAGGTAAGAAGGTTTGACACAGCATCTGTATAACCTGAGAGATAAGAAGGCTTAACACAACAGCTGTATAACCTGAAAGGTGAGAATGCTTGATAGAACAGCTGTATAACCTGACGGGTGAGAAGGCTTGACACAGCAGTTGTATAACGTGAGAGGTAAGAAGGCTTGACACAGAGCAGCTGTATAACCTGACAGGTGAGAAGGTTTGACACAGCATCTGTATAACCTGAGAGATAAGAAGGCTTAACACAACAGCTGTATAACCTGACAGGTAAGAAGCCTTGACACAGCAGCTACATAACATGGGAGGCAAGAAGGCTTGACACAGAGCAGTTGTATTACCTGAGAGGTAAGAAGTCTTAATACAGGAGCTGTATAACCTGACAGGTGAGAATGCTTTACACAACAGCTGTTTAACCTGACAGGTGAGAATGCTTGACACAACAGCTGTTTAACCTGACAGGTAAGAAGACTTGACACAGCGGCTTTCCCTAAGAGGTAAGAAGGCCTAACACACAGCAGCTTTATAACTTGAGAGAGAGAGGTAAGAAGGCTTGGCACACAACAGCTGTATAGCCTGACAGGTGAGAAGGCTTGACACAGCAATTGTATAACGTGAGAGGTGAGAAGGCTTGACACAGATCAGCTGTATAACCTGACAGGTGAGAAGGTTTGACACAGTATCTGTATAACCTGAGTGATAAGAAGGCTTAACACAACAGCTGTATAACCTGACAGGTAAGAAGGCTTGACACAGCAGCTACATAACCTGGGAGGCAAGAAGGCTTGACACAGAGCAGTTGTATTACCTTAGAGGTAAGAAGTCTTAATACAGGAGCTGTATAACCTGACAGGTAAGAAGGCTTAACACAACAGCTGTCTACCTGACAGGTAAGAAGGCTTGACACAGCAGCTACATAACATGGGAGGCAAGAAAGCTTGACACAGAGCAGTTGTATTACCTGAGAGGTAAGAAGTCTTAATACAGGAGCTGTATAACCTGAGAGGTAAGAAGGCTTAACACAGCAGCTGTATAACCTGACAGGTGAGAATGCTTGACACAACAGCTGTTTAACCTGACAGGAAAGAAGACTTGACACAGCGGCTTTACCTGAGAGGTAAGAAGGCCTAACACACAACAGCTGTATAACTTGAGAGGGAGAGGTAAGAAGGCTTGGCACACAACAGCTGTATAGCCTGACAGGTGGGAAGGCTTAAAACAGAGCAGCTGTTTAGCCTGAGAAGTAAGAAGGCTTAACACAGAACAGCTGTAGAAGCTAGAGGGTAGGTAGGCTTAAGCACCCTTACACACCACTCTTGAAGGGGTAAACTGAGAGAGCTTAAGACCTATGGGTGACGTGCTATACATGTAAATGAGGGTCATTAGACTCTGGACGTTTTGTCTTTCGCAAACAATTCTAGATGTTTTTGTGACAGATACCTTTGTATTGCATATCCATTTCACTTATTGTACAGTGTTTACGCTCGACATATATCCCTTCAGGTGATGTGCCTAAATAGTGTTGACAGCGAATAAGAAATAAACTAAAGTGAAGACGTCTTAAAAGAAGATTTACCACATGTATTTTCTGAAAAATACCGTCTAATATTTTACACTTTTCACACAGATTTTAACATAAAGTCCTTGATCCCTGAACAGACTTTTACATTGTCACGCCCTTCACCAGCGCCAGGAGCGCCTATCTGATTAGTACCCAGCTACTGTGTACCACATTTCTTTCAAGTCTGAAACCTGACTCTCTCTTGAATCGTGCTGTTGTTTCAGAGGACCCCACAGAGCGGAGGAACATAGCGCTGCAGGAGCCCGAGGTGGTCGCTAAGCTGAAACTCAAGATTAATCAGTACCGAAAAATGATGGTCCCTGCACAAACAAGACAATGTTCACCATCAGCTGAACCAGTTCTCCACGGCGGTGTGTGGTCCCCAGGGTGGTGCTAATATCCCCATGCCCCCTAGACTCTTCTTATGTCCTGTCCCTCGATACATATAGTCCCTGATGTCCTTTGCTAGCCCCGATAGCTCTCGATGTCCCTTGCTAGCCCCGATTGCCCACGATAGCGCCTGATGGCCCTTGCTTGCCCCTGATGGTCCTTGCTCGTCTTGCCAGCCCCGATAGCCCCAGATGGTTCATGCTTGCCCCAGATCACCCATGCTAGCCCCACAAGACCCTTGTTTGACCCAGATGTCCCTTGCTAGCCCGAGATGGCCGTTGCTACCCCCGTTAGCCCAAGGTGGCCCTTGCTAGTTTTTGAAGACGTACGTTCTTGGCGTCATCTGATTTCCCAGATGTCTTCTCCTGGCGGCCCCGAAGATGCTGCTCATTATGCCCTCTGACAAGTGTGGGCCATCTGTTTACCGAGACGAAGTTGTATTTCTAGACTGGGAATGCGTAGCTAGCGTTCTTTATGTCGCAGTCCAATGGACTTAAACAGATACCCTGAATAAAATACATTGGCACTTTTTTATCAATAAAAAGGATACACCAACATAGAGCGTGAGTGAGTGAGTGAGTGAGTAACTGCGTGACCAGTAGGTTACGTCATCTGATACTGAGTGTGACTCGGAGGAGGAGGAGTGGGGGCTAGCTGACAATATGTAGTCATGGCAACACCATGGAAATGCATAGCGCTGACGATGTTGCTATGTGTGGATTCGGGAGAGTCAACGATGTTTCAAGCTGCAGTCCTTCAACGCGCGGGCTAATTTGATGTGTTTATAATAGGTTATGAAATGTATCGTTCATATGGTTCAAAACAAATGTGGTGCTAACCTCTATTCCAAATGTACATACGGAAAAGTTCACAACCTTTGTCAGAGTACATTACAGCAGCTATTAAATGACACTGTTGACGTAATAAGTTTTATTTCTGGTGTTAACTAAGGATGCGCATATAACCTTTATGACACACCTTAAAATGAAAACATCACTTCTTTATCGCCTCATTCCATGGAAATATAACCTTTCTGTTTCCTTTAAGTGTATATATCACTTAATTATCACCTCATTCCATGTATATATAACCTTTATGTCTCCTCCTAAAATGTATACATCACTTCATTATCACCTCATTCCAAGTATATATAACCTTTATGTCTCCTCCTAAAATGTATACATCACTTCAATATCACCCCATTCCATGTATATATAACCTTTATGTCTCCTCCTAAAATTTATGCATCACTTCATTATCACCTCATTCCATGTATATATAACCTTTATGTCTCCTCCTAAAATGTATAAATTACTTCATTATCACCTCATTCCATGTATATGTAACCTTTATGTCTCCTCCTAAAATGTATACGCCACTTCATTATCACCTCATTCCATGTATATGTAACCTTTATGTCTCCTCCTCAAATGTAAACATCACTTCAATATCACCTCATTCCATGTATATATAACCTTTATGTCTCCTCCTAAAATGTAAACATCACTTCAATATCACCTAATTCCATGTGCATATAACCTTTATGTCTCCTCCTAATATGTAAACATCTTTTCAACATCTCCGGTCCTCGTTCCATGTCTATATAACCTTTATGTCTCCTCCTAAAATGTAAACATCACTTCAATATCACCTAATTCCATGTGCATATAACCTTTATGTCTCCTCCTAAAATGTAAACATCTTTTCAATATCACCTGATTCCATGTATATATAACCTTTAAGTCTCCTCCTAAAATGCATACATTACTTCAATATCACCTCATTCCATGTGCATGTAACCTTTATGTCTCCTCCTAAAATATACACATCACTTCAATATCACCTCGTTCCATGTCTATATAACCTTTATGTCTCCTCATATGTATACATCTCTTCATTATCACCTCATTCCATGTATATATAACCTTTATGTCTCCTCCTGAAATGTATATGTCACCTCCAAACATGCTTATATATATTCTATATCATGATCACCTCTTGCAAGGTTAATAACACCTGTATATCAGCACCTAATATATATAAAATATCACCTTTATATCAGTGGGATAAAATATATTTCCATATCACCGCCTACAATGTATATATCACTCTCACGATGCCTACTTACCGGTATATCGCTCCTGTTATTATTATATCACACCGCACGCACACACACACACACACACACACACACACACACACACACACACACACACACACACACACACACACACACACACACACACACACACACACACTCACACACACTCACTCACTCACTCACTCACTCACTCACTCACTCACTCACTCACACACACACACACACACACACTCACACACACACACACACAAACTCACACACACACACACACACACATATATATATTAACTTAAACACACACACGTACACACGTACACACGCTCACACTACACATGCACACGTAGATCGATGCACAGGATGTCAGTCACTGGAGTGTCTGGTCATTTCGCTGGAATATTGCTGAGTGCGGCGTTGAACAATTAACAATTACACATACACACTCACACTCACAGACACACAAACTCACTGACATACACACACACACACACACACACACACACACACACACACACACACACACACACACATATATATATATATATATATATATATATATATATATATATATATATTCTATAACGACCAAGGGATCGTCTAAACACTGACATAAACATTTGCGATTGGTTACCAATGTAAAGCGTCTGCAGAATCAACCGATGATACAGGGATTCAAAGAAACATATCTTATTATTGTTCCCATGATCTGTTGTTTCTCGGCTGACACAGCCCCCACCACAACTTTATCTAGGACAGGTCACAGCGCTCTCTCCTTGTTGACCCAGGAAAAACGCCTCCCTTAACGAGACGCCGATATTTGCGTTCTCGAAAATACGTGTCGTCACGCGCATGTCAGGTAATAACACGTGACCTTGTCAGCATTTACCACGCTCCCGTGAAGATAAGACGTTGCCGCCCAACTGCTTCTTCAGCAACAGTTGGACATCAACGAAAATCATTTTCAAGAATTTATTTCGGAATCGGTTATTAGTACGTCCATTTGACAACCTGTAGTCATGGCTTCGACCTGGATATACATCACGCTGACGATGTTGCTGTGTGTGGAGTCGGGAGAGTCAAGGACGTTTCGAGCTGCAGTTCTTGAACATGCACTGCACCTTCCCAACACAACTTCAGTCGTATCCAGGCAACAAGCACTGGCTTATGTTGAGCCTAATCTGGCCGAATTCGAACGCCAAGCTGCAATCGCTCGTTCACAGGTAAGACACTTCGCGGCTAAATTGATGTATTTATGACATGTTATGAAATATTTCCTTTATAATGTAGACGTATATGTACAGCATGGGTGGTGATATTTGTGTCTCCGTAGTAAAATGGATAGAGCGCCTGCCACGAGAGCCAAAGGTCAGGAGTTGGATCCCCGGCCGCGTCATACCAAAAGACGTTAAAAGATGGTACTTGTTGTTACCCTGCCTGGCGCTCGGCATTAATTGACAAAACAAGAACTGCTCGGCTCGGAGTCAGTAAACTGTGTCTGAGTAGGGTATTCATGTTAAAGTGGGGCATGGTATCTCAGTGGGCTGGCACTATAAAACCTGTATTAGTCCGGACTAGTACAAACAGCCGCGCTCATAATTAGTGACTAATTCTATTTCACCTCACCTGACAGGGGTGGTCGGGTAGCCTGGTGATTAGAGCGTTCGCTTGTCACGCCGAAGACCCGGGTTCGATTCCCGACATGGGTACAATGTGTGATGCCCATTTCTGGTGTCCCCCGCCGTGATATTGCTGGAATATTGCTAAAAGCGGCGTAAAACCATATTCACTCACTCGCTCACTCCTCACCTGACATATGTAATGTTAATCTCAAAGACGTACACGCGGAAATAATCATAACCGCGTCAGAGAGCCAACCTGCCTAGCCGCTGTCCGAAGGTCAAGTCCCGACTAACCCAAAGTCTTCTAATTTTAACCAGTCAAATCACTGACCAGCTGCCACGTATCGAATACGATACAACTCTGGTCAGCCTGCAGTATCCCGCACCTCATCCACAATGTCAAGCTTCAGTGGCCGACCGGCCATTCTCTAGCGCTGATAAGAAGCCATTGACTTGCACATGCCTCCGTGCTGTTGACCATAGTAAAAATAGCCCAGCTGCTGTAAAAATTTGTATTGGGCAGCGCTGTGAATAATTATCTATAAATATTTAACTTATTTAACTCAGGGAATATAAAAGACATATATAAACTCCCTGTTAAAACCTATACCCTGCCAAACTGCCTACGATATGAACTTAACTGATATAATGATTGTGAGCTCTCCGCAAGGCCACAAACTTTGCCTCCTGGGTGCACGTGCACCACGTGTGGTTCACACAGGATGTGAAAATTCATTGTGATCAGATGATGCGTTCAGATGCAACGTCACGGTATTTTAAATGTTCACCTCAACTATAGTTGCATTCAGATCATATGTTCCCCTGTTTTTTGTGGGTAAAGCATATCATCAACGATCATTTGGTAATTGACATTCAGAAAGCTGTACTCCTCTGAAAGAACCAGAGTGGTTCTATAAAATCTTGACTGTAAGACCTCCAATTGACTGGGTACCGAGAAACAACATCATTTTTTTAACACCAATTCCCAGACAAGCAGAATAAAACACCGTGTGGTATTAAGCGGTAATAAAAAATCGAGAAGAAAATGGTACTCATCTTTAATCTGATTTAATTCTCACAGATTCGTTCTCCTCTGCGGATGCCTGCGTATATACCAGATGCAATCAATCGCTCATGCCACGTACGCTCGATAATTCAGTTTGAAATTAAATTACATTAATAAAAAACAAACAGTGTTGTTTACAGGCAGAGATTTCCTCATTTGTACCACAGTAAACTTCGTTTATAACGAACACGCTTATAACGAACTGATCGATATAACAAACCTATATTTAGACCCGGCCTTTTGTTGTATATATGCTGTAAAAATGCTTATAACGAACAACGGTTATTACGAACTAAAATTCGTGGCCAATCGTTCGTTATAACCGTAGTTTACTGTAGATACATTTTTGAGGTAAAGATTGGGACCTTTGCATATCTACATGTTTGAGTCTTTGGGTAAAAGATCTACTAAATAAAGAGTGAGATGAAACATATTGTCCACTCCAAACATAACCCTCACCAACACAACAATTGCATAGAGGATTCATCACGAGTGTTTTTTTAATATGGGAAATATCAACCGAGTCTTAGTTAATGCACTTATATAGCGACGTGCATGTACGTGTGTGTGTTTGTGTGGCTGCTTGTACTAGTCCGGACTGATGCCGATTTATAGTGCTAGCTCACTGAGATACCATGCCGCAGTTGAACATGAATACCCCACTCAGACACAGTATACTGACTCCGAGCCGACCAGTCCTTGTTTTAGCCCCTTAATCCCGAGCGCCAGACAAGGTAACATCAAGTACCATCTTTTAACGTCTTTTGGTATGACGCGGCCGGGGATCAAACCCCGGACCTTCCGGACGGTCGCTCTACCACTAGAGCTTTCCCAACATGTGATAATGTCACTGTGAAGCTATACACTGATAATAATATACACATCTGTAATATGCAGCGTTATCTTTTCGTGGCGATCAATCCTGTTGTTATTCTAACAAAGCACGACGGAGTCAATCAAATAAATTGAAAAAATACCATACCTGTTAATATTCTATTTAATAATGACATTTGATTGTGTTCGCTATAAATGTGAAATTGTTCCATATTCTATTCCTTTCAGAGTGTTGATATTCTGGTCACACCCGAAGATGGAATATACGGCATGCGGTATAAAAGAACAACAATAAGACCGTATATGGAAACAATCCCAGACCCAAGGCACGTGACGTGGAACCCGTGTACCGCCCCCGCAGACATACCCAACGTCGACGTCCAACGACGTCTGAGCTGCATGGCCCGTCACAACGCGCTCTACCTGGTAGCCAACTACGGTGATATACAACCCTGCTCTGTCCGAAACGACCCAAACTGCCCTCCCGATGGCCACTACCAATACAACACGGACATTGTGTTCGACCCGAACGGTACACTCATCGCGAGATACCACAAAAAGCATCTCTTCTTTGAATACCAGTTTGACGAACCTACTGAAGCAGAGAACGTCGTGTTTGAGACGCCGTTTGGCAGATTTGGCGTCTTCACCTGCTTTGACATTATGTTTGAGAAGCCAGCAATATCTCTCATTGAAGACCTCAGTGTGGGCAACATCGTGTTCCCTACAGCGTGGATGGACGCCCTTCCCCTCCTGGCCGCGGTGCAATTCCACTCAGGATTCGCCATGGGGATGGGCGTGAACTTCCTGGCCGCAAACATCCATCGGCCCGGGGACAGGTTTCACGGCAGTGGTATTTACACGCCAGATGGCGCTGCGGTATACTACTACAATGACACCATCGGGACTGGAGGCGGTAAACTCCTTATTGAAGACATCGATATTATGGATAAAGCTGCACGTCGTCGTGTCGAGGACCAACCCAAACCAGACTCGAAGATGCTCAGCGCGGATCAGTTTGAGTTTAAGTCCTACCTTTTCAATGATCTGTTTAACTTTGTATCCCTCCGAGATCCTCACGCTGACGAAATCAAGGTCTGCCACAACGCTCTCTGTTGTCACGCTACGTACACGGCCGACCTTAATGAAGGTGACATGTATGCTCTCGGCGCATTTGATGGTCTTCACACATACGAGGGACAATATTACCTTCAAATATGTACAATGCTTAAATGTGCCAATTCATCCTATTCAAGCTGTGGTACACCAACATTTGATGCCAGCTCCATCTTCTCCAACATTGACATCCGGGGCACATTCAGCACACCCTTCATCTTCCCGAAAGTGCTAATGTCAGACAACGGAAGTCTCGCCTTAGCGCAGACGCAGTTGAGTTTCAAGAACGGAAGTCTCGTCACAAAGAATCCCCTGGATCTCCCGTTGTTGTCTGCGACTCTGTTTGGACGGAAGTATAGTTGGGACAACGGTAACGACTACGACAAGGCGTCTGGTTGCTGCGGTCGCGACGGCATTCTACTTACTATCTACCTGTCCCTGGTCTTAACACTGTTTCTTAAATGAAGATTACACGTGACACCTGATTGAGGCTTCGATTCAAGAATCTTATCCAAAATCGAACGCTACATCTCTCCCTATTGTCGTAAACCAAACCGACGACGTTTGACTTGTTTCATTGCTAAAGAATCATCAATACAATGTAAGCGAATTTGTTTCTTGTTTTTAGAATGAACATTCTTCTGCTGCATAAAATGCATTTGATATGGGAGTGATACAGTCTGATTGGTAGTTTGAAAGTTTGTCGAAGTTTGCCTTTGGCGCTAAAGATCAGCATAAATTAAAATATTTTGTTCGACTGCAAGTATAGTCAGACTTAATTCTGACATTGAATTAATTCAAGTTATGAAAACGCCCGAGATCAATGCACTTTGTTTGTTGATTTAGAGGAGGGAATTATCTCCAAAAGATTAACTAAATTGAAAGTTTTTGGTCACAAAAAAATAAAATGGCAATATAACCAGGGACATGTAACGTTTGTTAATAAAAACCCATTTGCACTGGCATTCTAACCTTGGTGCCATTACAATCAGGGCATTTTGCACTGCGGATATCCGTTCTTGGAAAAATACATGGCATTGTAAGCAGGGACCTAACAAACAGGTAGGACTGTATCTAGACTAATAACTGGATTACAATTTCAATATATAAACTGTTAATACAAAATTGATAGCATCCCTTTTATTAAGTGGAATACTTCTATTTGTAATATGTCTGCTGCGTGTCAAAATAGTATTTCATGTACTCAATATATGTTGCTTTCAAATTAAAACTAGTTTCTCTCATGCGGGTGCGTGTGAGTGTGAGTGTGCGTATTCTTGTCTGTTCATGTTCGTCTGAGTAATGGTACCAGACAGTTTCTCATGTTTTTGTAAAGTGCATTCAGACTTGCAGATGTGTATGTGATGCGTTGATGATATTACACAAGAATATGCGTATGATTAGTTGTCAATTAGACAGTATGGTGAATGAAGTATGCTTTATGTACTGAAGTGTCATTACAACCCTTGTCTTCATCAACTGATCATGAGATGTAGATAACCTACCGCAACCTCTGTACTATAGTCTCGTGTTGCCTTTTAGCCAAGATTTTATTGGATTAATACGTTGCAAGGTTGTGGGTATTTGTGAATTTATCATTAAAAACTGGCTCCCACAAGAGACATCGCTTGGGTGACATCAAGCGATATCCACATTGTAGATATCGCTGCAATGAAATTGCATCACGATGCTTTGGAGACCATTGTTACGTCATTGGTTACCATGACGTCAGATTCAAATGACAACACTCACGGCTCTGCCACTGAAACTGTAAGCAGTATTTTTTACACTTTTTACTTATTACAGTCTACACACTGTTAAAATTGGACAAATGATGTTGGATGATAAATAAAATCTCACCCGAGTATCTTTTGATATCAAATATATCAATTCTCGTTCATATCTGTGATATCAAAAGACACTCGGGTGAGATTCTCCATGTCTTAGACATTAATCGACAACATTTTTGTCATTGTGATTGGAAGGGAATTCTTTTTAATACATTTGTATAATGACAAAACATTTTTTGTTGGTTTTACTTATTCCTTTAATATTGAGTGAGTGAGTGATTGAGTGAGTATAGTTTTACGCCGCTTTTAGCAATATTCCAGGAAGGGACACCAGAAGTGGGCTTCACACATTGTACCCATGTGGGGAATCGAACCCGGGTCTTCGGCGTGACGAGCGAACTCTTTAACACTAGGCTACCCCACCGCCTCTTAAATAACAGTATTTGTTTCATGAGTATTACAAATACTTGTGTTCCCCGAAGTAATTATGGTCAACACGGTAACCCAGTCTCGTCACGAGAGAGTCCTTAGTTCGATTTCCCTTACAAGTTGTGCAAATAGGCATTTAAATCACTCACGCACTCACCATGATCCCGAGGCACGGGACTTAACTGGCTATAAAAGTCTAGTTCCCACCCTTGCCGCACCAGGCTGGAATTTCCATGCTCAATCTTAGCACCACCAGTGGCTATTACGAGTTATGTCCCTTCTATGTCCGTCCTATTGACCAATCAGATTCCAACAAAATGGCGGCGCACAGTCAAGACGATCTGATCGATAATCAAGATCTATATTGTAATAAAACGGGAAGATTTTTCACTATAAGGTATGTCGATGTTTTCGTATTTTTTCTGGTATTTTTTTCCTATTTGATGGTTCATAAGTTGGATAAAACACGGTTCCTCAGTTTGGGTTGAACATATAAACCGCGAACGAGGAAAAAGCCAAAGCTGAGGAGGCGTGTTATATCCGATACATAGTGACTTAACAGAATCTAAAATAACTGATGCTGATTATAAACATGTTCTTTATGTTTGGGTAAAAAAACGCTATAAGAATTTATCATGATCTACACTTAAAAACTGATGTTCAATATCTCACCGACATATTTGAGATATTTAGAAAGACCTGTTTAAATCAATATGGCTTGGATCCAGCATGGGACTATTCCAGTCCCGGACTCTCGTGGGATGCATTGTTGAAAAAGACTAATGTAGAACTTAAACTACTCACTCATTATGATATGCACTGGTTTGTTGAGAAAGGATTAAGTGGTGGTATATCAATAGGAGCGTAAAGGTATCCAAAGGCCTATAATGACTAAGTGGAAGGATATGGTCCGAGTAAACCTGATACACACATATATTAACAATTTGTATGGATTTGCTCTGAGTCAGCCTCTACCCACAGGTGGTTTTGAGTAGGTCGACAATGACGATGTGAATTATATTCCCAAAGATTCTGATGAGGGTACATACCAGAAGTTGACTTAGCATACCCCCAAAAGTTACATAAACACTACTGCTAGTTCCTGAAAGAATAATGGTTAACAGAGATGGATGTCAGAATATCAACACAACTTGATGGGAAAGACAAGCTTAGCTAATGTAGAAAGTCTCGAACCAAATTTGATTGATAAGACGAAATATATAGTCCACTATAGAAATCTCCAGTTGTATATCTATCATTGGGAATGAAGCTAAAGAGAATACACAGAGTTCTTAAGTTTGGTTCAATCCCTTGGATGGAACCCAATATAAGGCTGAAGTCAGATTTAAGAAAGAAGGCTCCGAGTGTTTTCTAAAAAGAACCTATGAACCTCATGAATAACTGAGTATTGGTAAAACTATGGAGAATCTACGGAAGCGCGTTGATTTAAAATTGGTCAGATCTAATGAGGAAGAAAGATTTAGGAAACTAATAGCTAGTCCAGTATATTTGCCATATTGCTTGTTTCTTTAACCAATCCTTAGCAACATCTTCAGATACTTTAGCTGCTGGAGCTAGTTTTTGTATTGCCCCTTTACCTTTCAATATCATCGTGGGTTGTCGTAAATTTTATCCGTTATTTATTAATACTGATTTTCCTTCAATACAACCATTCAGATAAATGTTCATAAAAGTGCAAAACAATGAACGATTACAAATCAACAAAAGAAGAACTTGAAAATCTGTATTTATGTACCGAGATCAAATTATCAAATGGCGAGAATTACCACAAGGCGTATATCCTATCAGGGATGTTAAGCCATCCAAATACGATTATCAACTGTTTCTATCCAATGTTTTGTTTGTTTGTTGTTTAACGCCGCACGCAGCAATATTCCAGCTTTATGACGGCGGTCTGTAAATAATCGAGTCTTGACCAGACAATCCAGTGACTGACATTATGAGCATCGATCCACGCAATTGGGACCGATGACATGCATCAACCAAGTCAGCAAGCCTGACCACCCGATCCCGTTTTTCGCCTTTTACAACAAGCATAGTCGCCTTTTACGGCAAGCATGGGTTGCTGAAGGCCTATTCTACCCCGGATCTTCACGGGTCAACTGTGAAGAAGAGTATAGGACACAGGACTCCAGGGGATACACACTCTGACACAGGGCTATAGGAAGGGATATACACTCCGACACAGGGCTCCAGGGTGATGCACACTCCGTCACAGGGCTCTAGGAAGGGATATACACTCCGACACAGGGCTCCAGGGGGATGCACACTCCGACACAGGGCTATAGGAAGGGATATACACTCCGACACAGGGCTCTAGGAAGGAATATACACTCCGACACAGGGCTCCAGGGGGATACACACTCCGATACATGGCTCTAAGGGGATACACACTCCGACACAGGGCTTTTGAACGCCGTAAAATAGTTGAATCAAGTTAAAATGAGTCAAATTATATTTCATGAAACTTCTAAGAACACCTTTATGTATTTGCGAAACAAAATCACGAGTTTTGAGCAAAAGGAAATATTCTCGCCCACAGGAGAAATATTTCAATAATGCTATAAAAAAGTTGAATTAAGTCTAAATGAGTTAAATTATATGACATGAAACCTCTAAGAACATCATTATGTATTTGCGACACTGAAACACAGGTTTTGGGGAAAGGCAGGCACATGGGCGACATAGTGTAAAGTTCATTTTTACTTCCTTGGTATGTTCCCATGAAAATGCACGTTTAATTTTGTAAATACCTTTGACCGAGACTGGGTAAAGACTGTAGAGTTTCTGGAGTATTGGGTTTCCATAATTGAAATGGGAGGTGTTGTTTGCTTTTACAGAATGGACCTGACATGCGTTTCCATGGCAATAGTTTTCCTCTGAGGGGAGTAAAAGCTCTCAATCTGGTCTGTTGATGGGGTGGAGTGTGGTGGTTGTTGTGGAGGTAGATTATGACAGGTCTGTTGATGGGGTGTAGCGGGGTGGTTGTTGGGGAGAAAGACTATGACGGGTCTGTTGATGGGGTGTAGCGGGGTGGTTGTTGTGGAGGTAGACTATGACAGGTCTGTTGATGGGGTGTAGCGGGGTGGTTGTTGGGGAGGTAGACTATGACGGGTCTGTTGATGGGTTGTAGCGGGGTGGTTGTTGGGGAGGAAGACTATGACGGGTCTGTTGATGGGGTGAAGCGGGGTGGTTGTTGGGGAGGTAGACTATGACAGGTCTGTTGATGGGGTGTAGCGGGGTGGTTGTTGGGGAGGAAGACTATGACGAGTCTGTTGATGGGGTGTAGCGGGGTGGTTGTTGGGGAGGAAGACTATGACGGGTCTGTTGATGGGGTGGAGTGGGGTGGTTGTTGTTCAGGTAGACTATGACAGGTCTGTTGATGGGGTGTAGCGGGGTGGTTGTTGGGGAGGAAGACTATGACGGGTCTGTTGATGGGGTGTAGCGGGACGGTTGTTGGGGAGGTAGACTATGACGGGTCTGTTGATGGGGTGTAGCGGGGTGGTTGTTGGGGAGGAAGACTATGACGGGTCTGTTGATGGGGTGAAGCGGGGTGGTTGTTGGGGAGGTAGACTATGACGGGTCTGTTGATGGGGTGTAGCGGGGTGGTTGTTGGGGAGGAAGACTATGACGGGTCTGTTGATGGGGTGTAGCGGGGTGGTTGTTGTGGAGGAAGACTATGACGGGTCTGTTGATGGGGTGTAGCGGCGTAGTTGTTGGGGAGGTAGACTATGACTGGTCTGTTGATGGGGTGTAGCGGGGTGGTTGTTAGGGAGGAAGACTATGACGGGTCTGTTGATGGGGTGTAGCGGGTTGGTTGTTGTGGAGGAAGACTATGACGGGTCTGTTGATGGGGTGTATGGGGGTGATTGTTGTGGAGGTAGACTATGACGGGTCTGTTGATGGGGTCGAGTGGGGTGGTTGTTGTGGAGGAAGACTATGACGGGTCTGTTGATGGGGTGTATGGGGGTGATTGTTGGGGAGGTAGACTATGACGGGTCTGTTGATGGGGTCGAGTGGGGTGGTTGTTGTGGAGGAAGACTATGACGGGTCAGTTGACTGGGTCGAGTGGGGTGGTTGTTGTGGCCTAACACAGAACAGATGTATAACCTGAGGGGTAAGAAGGCTTGACACAACAGATGTATAACCTGACGGGTAAGAAGGCTTGACACAACAGCTGTATAACCTGAGAGGTAAGAAGGCTTGACACGGAGCAGCAGTATAACCTGAGAGGTAAGAAGGTATTGTATATCTAGTTCAGTCATTGTACAGTGTTTACGATCGACACATATCCCGGTAGGTCCTACACTACTGCCTAGAAGTTCATTCCCCTTACACGCATGGGCAACGCGTTACGCAACCCGTGTGCACCCCCTTGGTCACTCGTGTGGAACCCGTACGCCACGCGTGTGATACCCGTGTGCAACGCGTGCCACACTCATTAGAGGGGGAACAAACTTTTGACCAAAGGAGGACCCATGGGCATGTCCAGCTGAACCTGGAGGTGGTAACAAGGAGATAACCTTTTGATTTGCTGACGAAAAAAGTTAATACACATTTTATTGTACTTGCTGGTGTTTCATTTTTAGATGTGATTACATGGTGTCTTGCGATGGTGTTAAGAGAATACACGATCCTGTTACATGTTATTCCTATTCAAATGCTTTTTTGTGATTTGACATTGAACGTCTGTAGTACGACTTTCAGTGATCATGTTTATGAGGTTTGGTGGAGCATTATTTTTATTGGACCCTAATTACTTTATGATGGTT